TGTTGTTAAAAATAAGTTCAAAACGCAAAAACAATTAATTGTTGCATTATAAAGCATTTAAAAACATCAAAGTTAATTTTTATTTCAAACGCTCACCTCTATCTTGTCTTTGGAATCACACGTCGGCCCCCATATCCTCGAGATCATTTCCGGAGCGTTTTTAGGCTAAAGTTTTCAGCTGATAAAATTGTGAAAGCTAGATTTCGGAAGAATTTAGCATAGCAAAACCCAAATTTCCGGAAACTTACAAATAGCGGCCGTCCAGGAGCATCCAAATAATCCCACAGCACGCATATGAAGGCTCCGAATATCGTGGACGTGATGTAATATTCCATGCCGCGTTTTGAAGCGTCATCTTCTGAAGCGATAGTTATTGAGCAGACGATACAATCATCTCAAAAAATGCAAAATTAAAATGCACAAAAGTGCAAGAATTTTTTAGGGCAAATTTCCAGATTTTGGCTACGGTGGTAAAGCGCGGTTTTGAGAATTATAAATACTTTAAAAAATAAGGTTCATATAGCGTAAGCGAGCGGCAAAGAAAAGTAAACAACAGTCGTACCGTTTCCTGTAATCTTCTTCAGCGACACTTCTTTTGCTAGCTGCACATTGGCGCAAATCGTCGCTGCCGAACAGGCGAAGAAACTGGAATTTCCCGGTTTGAATATAAACATGAAATTGCGCAAAAAACGATGATGGAAAAGCGCCAAAACACGATCAAGCGTGACGAGACAGTACGGTACCTGCCAGGCTCGGCGACGCATCGGACGGCCAGTTCCTTTGTTAATTTTTCAAGACATGGCATTGCAGAGGCCGCACACTGAAAGATAGTATATTCAAAACTCTAGTTATTTTACTCTCATTTTCAATAAATTTTCACCGACTTCGCAACGACAGCCTACCTTTTTAAAGCTCTCTTCGCTGGTCCCAGAGTATCCACCCCCGATGTCGACCATTTTCATCTCAAGCCCTAGACTTCGACCCAGTATCGTCAAATTCCGTGCCTAAACGTCTTTATAGTTTTTGTTAGAAGCTATCTATTACATTTTCCAAGGCGTTCGGTATCGCCGTGTGATCATCGCAGCCGAAGCCGACGTGAAAACTAGAATTTAAATAGTTTTGGTGCATTGATAACAGGCGACACCTTATCCCATGAATCGGGATTCTCAGCTCGGCTGCTAGCCTCAGAATCTCAGGAGCTTCATCGAGAGGGTCGGCTCCGAATTTTTGGCTTAGGTCCAGTTTTGCGTCTCCGCTGGAGGCTGCTATCCGAAGGACTGTTCTAGAGGACTGGGTTAAAATGAGAGAATGAGAGAGAGAGAGCGAGAGAGATACTAATCGTTAAAATTTGAACTTACTTGCAATCAGGAAAATGTTTGTGATGTTTCATCAATTCCTCTAAAGAGTCCACTACCAGCAGCTCGACGCCCATTGATTTAGCATACTAAAAACATCTATATTAACATCATATTTGCTTACCTTTATGGCAGTTACAGTTTTTGCTGGATGCGCAAAGATTATCCTATCTGGTTCGACGCCGAGGCTGAGAACCTAAAAAAATTACGGTCTGAGGTAGGTAGAAAATAGAATCACTACAATGGCTTGAACTTATTATACGAGAAATATTGATATCCGTTACATATGTTAGTATTGCTGTAAATTTTGTCGCTACCTTTTCAACTTCCCCTTGGCTCGCACAATCAAACGAGCATCCCAGGCGGTTCATGACTTCGAGGAGTAGCAGGTTATCGTTGACTTTGACGGCGTAGAAGGGCTAAATCACCAAAAATTAAATGAGCCAGAAAAGAGTACCAAAATTCCAGGGAAATGCTCATTCCAAAGCTGAATTCTGTTGACTACCCGATCGAGGTTGTAGAGCATGAAGCCGTTTTTGTTGTCCTGAAACCGGACTTTATTTATTTTCCTAGAAACCTGTGTAAAACCTTTTGGTCCGCATTATTTTGTTTTTATTTGATGAGCTTATGATTGATCTTACTGGATTTTTGTTTTTAATTAGAGATTTTCCATGTTAATTTGAATAAACTGGACTTTCAAAGGAGCTGCCAAGCAAGGCCGGGTAGCTCTCCACACTCAACCTAAATATACCTTTCCATCCCGATACTTTGCAATCTTCTGGCACAACGCGAAGTCCGAGATTTCCGGGAACAACGCAATCTAAAGCTTCGTTTTTTCCATCATTCAATTTGTTTTACATACCTGCTCATCCAGGAAATTCACAGCCTTCCCGCCACTCCGGTTAATCCACGTCTCGCGCATCTGTAAGGTGTCTGCGCTGTGTGTCTTGATCTAGACGATCCGAGTGTTTATAAATGGGATCCGAGACCACGAAAAAAGCGCACGAGATACTGTTGCGATTTCTCCGAAAAAGGGGGCAAGAGGGTATCATTTCTCACCGTCGCTTGAGTCCCATATTTTTTCTAATCTTAGTTCCTGTATCAAAGGTAAGGGTGCGATGTCTGGAAACCGATTTAACCGCAAGTTCTCTGACTGTGGAGTGGCAACATTAAAAGTGTGGTCAGCTGACTTTGATTTTTTTAAGAAAAAACACACAGACCAGAACGGAGGATCTTTGCTTAAAAAAATGATAAGCTCCTGATCCACCGATTCATGTACCAAAATCTATTTGCTAAAAATCAGCTCAGATACAGAATTCTAGCTACTAGCAAAATCGGTAATCTCCATAAACGCGTGCTCGCTTTTCGATAAAAATATAAATGGAAAAAATGAAAAAGCAAAAAGGGCAACTAAGCACATTTTCTCTAGCCCTCCAAATTTTTCCAAAATGGCGCACAGGCCTCAAAAAAAGCCAGAAATGTTTCTTTTTAACTCTTTCATTTTGTTCATGAGTAGCTTGAACGAGATAAGTCGGAAATGCAGACATGCTCAGACACCCAAAACGCAGAAAGCCAAAACGCAGACAGGCAATTGCACAGGATTTCTGCATATTCGGTGTCCGCGATTTGTCTTTCTGCGTTTTGTCGTGTCTGCGTTTTGGCTCTCTGTGTTTTAGCATTCTGTGTTTTGCATGTCTGTGTTCTGGCTGGAATTCAGCTTGAACCCTTGTACGAGTAGCTTGAACCTCTTAAAATCAACAAAAATCTTCGATATCACAAAGCAGAATAAAGACAAAAACCCTGATTTACAACTAGAAAACCCGGAAATATATCCGCGGTAAAACGGCAAAACCGGCGTACTTTACGCTACGATTTCTTTGAGGTTACGGTATCACCGTTCAAACGGGCACGAAATGTGCGGGGTGTGCACGAAACTGAAATGTTTCGTGTATGAGTTTTTCGGCAAGGTCGGTACCCCGTTTTTGGTGCGGGTTTTTCCGACGTATGATGATGGATTGGCAGATAGTTGGATTGCGTTCGAGAAAACCAAGATGATAAGCACAGGCTCGTGACCTTTTTGGCTAGGCTGGCTGGGAAATTGCGCCTGGAATGTTCGCAGTTGTTAGAAAGCGCGACTTAAAAAAATGAAAAAAAATCGCAAAGTTATCCAAAAAAATGATTTAAAAAATACTTAAAAAATCAAATCCAAAAAATGAAAACTTAATTCGACTCAATAATATCTTTTCTAGAAATTAACGAAATATCATTGTCAATATGAATAATATCTTTTCTTGCGGTATTTGAAGCATGTTGTTTAGCTCTTTAGCAAATTGCGGGTAAGATCCCGAAAACCATAATCCCGACACGCCAAAATCCCGACGCGCCAAAATATCGAAATTCCAATGTCCCGAGAATCCAAAACCCCGACAGACCAAAATCCCGACGCGCCAAAATAACGACAAGTCAAAGTCCCGCAACATTGTTTGAATGCTAGATGTTTAGGCAGGTTTTTGCATGTCGGCATTTTCCCATCCGGAGTTGACAATTGTCGGCCGTTTGGCGTGCCGGTCATGAGCTGTTGTCGAAAATTTCCACAGGACGCCAAATCCCCCTTGCCAACCAAGAAAAAATTTGGATCATACATTTTTTAAGTTCATGGAATCTGTAAATTGCAGAAAATGCAGGACGGTGAGACGTCCGTAAAACTCGGACGTCTCACCGCAATCAGCTGCTTTTTGTATAGTCACGACGGAACACCGATCGGAAGTTTCGCTCCCGAATTGTGATAACGCCCCGGGAGTTCCGTCTGGCCGCTGATCAGTGGACTTAAATTCTGGAGGGCATCATGGATCTTGTACAAACGAAGCGGAGATCAAATTAAAGAAAGCAAAAGGAAAATAGACCATTTTTGGTTATGGATTTGTTGCGCTTTTGGACCGCAAAATACCGAACACCGAGATCCCGAAACACGTGACCCCCCAAGCCAAAAACGCGACAACTAAAATGCCGACAATTAAAAATACCGACAGGCTAAATCACGACAGGCTAAATACCGACCAGCTTAATGCTGACGGCTATGCAGAATGGCTGTTCGCAAGGAATTTCATACGCACTAACATCAAGGATATGCCAGAAATTTAGTTGTCGGGATTATGGCTCTCACCATTTTGGCGCATGCGATTTTGGGCTGTCGGGATTTTAGCTGTGTTGGGTCGACCCGTTTGGGATTTCGACTGCCGGAAATAATGGCTGTCGGTATTTTTGCGTATCGTATCCGATTTTTGTGGGTATTTATTCGCCCGTTTCTCGGAATGAATCAGAGAAGAGACCAATCGTATGCCACCCGCGGATCCCCACGGCTTCGGCGTCAGGTGTGGTGAAGCCACATCCGCAATTTCAAGGGTTGAAACTAATGTCGCCCCTAATTTTTAAATTTTGAATTTCACGAGATCCGAATCAGCATTTACCGTAATCAGTTTACTGGCACCAAAGAAAACGAGATAGAGATACAGAACGAAAGACAGAAAGAGAGAGAGAGAGAGAGAGAGAGAGAGAGAGAGAGAGAGAGAGAGAGAGAGAGAGAGAGAGAGAGATACAACCAGAGAAGGTGTATGCCGGTTTCCCCAAAAAATATACAATTTATTAATGTCTTGAGAAAACCCGGCTTTGCACTAACGTCACGTTGCCGGAACCAGTCTTTGGACTTCTCCTCTGGAAGACGATGTAGATGATGCTAAAAATATTCAGACTTGATAAGACTATGAAAATTACTTTCCAAGCAGCGCTCCGAATTGCCAGCTAGCCGTAAACAAGAGAAACATATGAAAATCCGTAGCTGCATACTGTGTGCAAACTGATGTCACGACCAAAATTGCGATTTCCGTCGTGTTGAACGTCACCAGCTGAAATAAAAATGAAGAGCGAGATAGATACCGAAACAGCGCAATATTTGCCCTTGATTAACTAGTAAAGACGGAGTTCCCGATTCGGGGGAATTTCGTTGCCCGATCTAGCGTTATTTGTTTCCCATTTCAAGGGAATTTGAATGATTAGAGGGCACGTTCAGGGACGTTTTTTGGAACAAAACAAAGTTTTTTGCCGCGGCCGGGGGTCGAACCCGGGCCCACCGCTCGGGAGGCGCGGATGGATACCAGTCAGCCACAGCTACAACCTGGCGAGGGGGTGAGGGGCGCCCCACGCCACAAAGGAGGGGATTGGCCTGTCACAGTACGGGCAGGCAGTGCGCGCGGTCGCTACGTCCATAGCGTGTAAACGTTGGGACGAGTACACGGCCCCTTCCTGAACGTGCGTTTTAGGGCAAATTCCAAATAGAAAATATTTATTTGGGACCCCTCGAATTTCTTGGGAATGTTTTGTTCAAAAGCACCTGGATTGGGTCTGGCAAGACGCGCAGTTTTTCACCGCTTAATAATTTATGTGCTTAAGAAAATGTAAGGTGCACCAGCAGGAGCTTTTTGGGAAAATAGATTCAATTGTCAGGGGTTGCACGACAAAGAACAAGGTTACAAAAAACGAACCTGTCCCGCAAACCGAAGCTGCCTCCCGACCTGTCTTCTGGATTGGCCGGTGTGGGTTCGTTCTAACTTCTAAAAAAGCGATAAACATGCGACCGTAAGGGCTACGATACCTTTAACCTGCGGCTAAGAAGCAGCAATGTCGATACCTCCAGCGTTGCCGTGATTGCAATTTCGACGTAGCCGAGTTTTATCTATTTACACCTTTTTTAGACGACCCTCTGGCATTATGGAATCGTGCCTATGTAGTTTAATTCCACAAAACTTTGTATGATTTTATGTGAATTGTTTTTGTTGGCAATCATAATCGAACTTTCAGAATTATGCGTGCTATTTTGTGCGATTTTCCGGTCTAGACTACCTGGACAACATCGACATAAAGTCCACCAATAGCGCTTTCGCCCGTCCAGAACATAATTACGGGTGAGGTAAATAGGGAGCAGCGGCATCCGGCTGAAAGGTTGGTTTAAAGGTTTTGATTTTTTCCGAGAAGAAAAGGAGAGGGAGAGAGAGAGAGAGAGAGCGAGAGAGAGCGAGTGTAGAAAGAGACTTACGTATAAGTAGCGGAATTATTAGAATTGCGGAAAGTACGACCAGAACGGCGTAGCAATAAATACGTTGTTCTTCGAGATGGTGATAATACCTTCCGTGAAATGCTACCGAAAACCAGCGATTAATAGCAAGGGACACCTAAATTAGAACAATTGTTTTTTGTCATCTCAAAGCTTACTCTAGCCACATAAGCTAACGGAATAATAGCATAGATGAAGAAACCAAAAACATAGCTAATCCATTCGAGCTCGGCGTTGAGATCCCTAAAAAAAACAAGTAGAGTGGAGGCAGAGAGTGCGAGCAAGAGAGAGCGAGAGAGAGCGAGAGAGAACCAGAGAGACAGCGAGATAGAGAAAGAGAGTGAGAGAGGGACAGAGAGCGAGAGAGAGAGAGAGCGAGAGAGCGAGACAGCAACAACCTCAAAGGCCCTACCAAATAGCACAAGGCACGGCCCAAATGGTGTGACACGCATTAATGACAACTCCACTACTAGCATGGATCAGACAGTAATGTTCAACGATACCTAAACAGCATCGATTTGCTTTTGAAATGTGGGCTCTGGTTGTTTGTTGCCTTAAAGCTAAGGTGAGCCGGCTTGTTGCTATTAAAACCTAGCCTGCTATAACCGGAACTTACCCGTAAGAAACTGGCATCGTCTGATCACGACAAGAGAATATATGGCGGCAATGGTGCCGAGCAGGCCGATCTAAATTTTGCCTATAAGGTTTAAAAATAGTTTTTAAATCAAACATTAATTGCCGTCTTTTGCCGTCTTGAAATTCAGCTAGTTTCGAATAATTTGAGGTCGTAAAGATACTGTATTTCAAACTGCTACCTACCATGCCACAGATGATAATCTGAAGCGCATGATCAGAGATTACGATCATTTATTAATTATCGTATGGAGTAAGAGATCAGTTTATGAAGACCATATACTAAGTTTAAATCCTGGATACCGATCCAAACCTGTGTTTTCGATTTCAAAAAAATGCTCGGCTTCTTCCTGTATCAACCCGTAATTATGGATTCCCGAGGGAGCGGGTAAGTGGCAATGGTAGGCACCTATGAAAGTTCAAATTTCTCTCTCTTTCTCTATCTCCCTATCTCCCTCCCGACCTTTTGAAACAATTTTGGGCTCAATTTCGAACAGGATCAATGTTTCGGATCGCCCGCCAGGAATTCTGGAGTCCCATGGCCATGGCCTAGCTCCGGGTCCAATCCGCAAAAAAAGTCCTCCGGGCTGGGGTCGAACCCGCATCCTACGGCTTTCGAGTCCGATCTGTAGCTGATCCCCCGGAATTTCGAGCAGCATCTCGAAAGCTCTCCGGAATATGAATCTCAAAACTTTCCAACTACACAATCCCTGTCCAGGCAATCTGCCAGCTTTTGACCGCTTTCTTTTACAGAATTCCCCAAGGACTACGCGAGACTACGGAACACGTTCCAAAATGATACCGATGTTTTTGTCGTCCAAATTTTCGTATCAAGCACGATGTATTCTTTGCATGGTGTAATTGGGGTGCTATGTAAAAACAAAAATCGCATATTTATTAGAATTTGGAAGAATTCTGGCCAGTGGCAACCAGCGTCACCTTGCCTGATCTGGATTGGGCGCCACTTCTTTGGAAGAAGATGTAGATGAGACTAAAAATAGGATATTTTGCTTGTCTCGAGATCATCAACTCTCTCTCTCTCTCTCTCTCTCTCGCTCTCTCTCTCTCTCTCTCTTTGACTTACCAAACTATCATAGCTCCAAGTTGCCAGCTCGCCGTAGCAAGTAAAAACATATGCAAATCGCTCGTGGCATATTCCGTAAAAATCGAATACGTGACATTTATAGCAATTTCCGACGTGTTAATTGCAACGAGCTAAAGAAAATATATTTTTAGGATTATAAAACTGGGAAAGATCAAACTTCCCAAAAATACTTACCTGACTCGCGAACCGGAATTGACGACCTAGTTGACTTCGGGAGTTCACGCCTCGATAGTTTTGCTTGAACGACTAAAGGTTTGTTATGTGTTTTAAAGTATACAAAATCTTAAATTTTAAAGTATAACGTACTCTTAATCGCCTCCCCAACAAAAACATGGCCCACAGCTCGAACAGCATACTAACGGCGATTTCGAAGTAACCACCCTTGATCTGAAACACGGATTAGGTAAGTCAATCCCATAACAAAAAAAATCTACGAGAACGGCTTTCTATTGAAATCCGATTCATAGTTATATTAGTTTATATATATTACTAGGGATACAGCCTGTTTGGTGAAATTACCTGTACAATATCTATGTAAATCGGGCCGCAATCACCTTCCCCCGTCCAGAATACGATGTAGGGGTCGGTGAGCAGGGTGGCCCGACAGCCCGCTGCAAAGTTAAGCCTTGAATAACGCTTGTCACAAAGCTATAGCCGTTATAAACTTATGATGGTGACCTTCAGACACTCAGCTACGTTATTCTACGTTTCGCTACTAGCCACAATATTTTATGCTTTTGGTCAAGTTTCTGCTCTTCTACTATGTTGTGGTGCATTGCGCTTCACTAATTTGACTACACGACGTAACGCTCCACTACGATGCGTTCCCTTGCACAACGTTCCGCTGTTTTCCCACTCATTACGTTACGCTACACTCTGCCAGCTCGCTACGTTCCAGGAACTAGTGACGCTTCACCATGTTCGGCTGCGTCATGCTACGCGACCTGCCGTCGCACTACATTCTTATGGTACCACTTACGTATAAAAAGCGGTATCACAAAGAGCATTGGCACGACGACCAGAAGACCATAACTGACGACCCGCGCATTTTCCAAGTAGCTATAATATTTCCCATCAAATGCGACGGCTATCCACCGATTGAACGCCATTGACATCTAAAACACTATGAATTAGTGCCAAACAAGGTTTTTGCTTACCCTTGCAAAATAGGAAAAAGGTACGCAAGCGTAAATAATAAAGCTAACGATGTAGTTGAGCACTTCCAATTCGGCGTTTAGGGCCCTAGAAAAAGTGAAAAATAGGGCATCCGGGGTATAAATATATGCATTAATAGCTAGGTAAATCAGACTATAGCGAGCTCCAAGTGGTTTGTGGACTCACCAAAGAGCACTCGGCACTCCCCATACTAGATGACACAAATTAACTGCCAACTCGTAGGTGACGTGGACTAGGCAATAGTGCTCGACGATACCTATGAGCCAAATTTCTCGTAAATGTTTCATTAATTTCTCACTGCCTTCTCTCTCACTCTCTCTTCTCTGGTTTGCTCTCTGTCTTTCTCTCTCTCTCTCTCACTCTCTCTCTCTCTCTCGCTCTCTCTCTCTGATTTTCTCCCTCTCACTCTTCTTCGCTTACCTGACAAAAATCTGCATCTCCTGATGATATAGAATGCATAGATACCGGCAGCGCTTCCGAAGATCCCGATCTAAAAAAGGCAAATATTGGTTTTCCCTCTCTCGCACCTTCTCTCTCTCTCTCGCTATCTCTATCTTTCTTTTTTTTCTTTCGCTCGCTTTCTTTTTCTCTCGGTCTGTCGCCCAATCCATTTTTCAATTTGAAATTCTAGAAATCAAAGAATCGAAACACCCACCAGCCCGCAGATCAATATCTGTAAGTTGTATTCAGATACCACGAAGAGCATCTGATAGCTTTCCTAGGCGATGAGGGAGAATTTTAAGCCAAAACAGTAATGCGATGGAATAGTTGAACGCAATCAAATTCTTCGAAGAGGTTTCGGATGTCTGAAAAAAATTGATTCACAAAGATAGCGTCCCTAAATTTCTAATTGGGTAATTTCCCCGCGGAATAAAGAAGTTACGCATATGAGGGGAAGGTGTGACTTTTAATGTTGTTTTTTTTTACATTTCTTGGAAGCTGGATGATTAGGGCCATGTTTCCGGTATTTGGAAAATAGGCGCAAGGGTCTGGTGGTGTCGATTTCGATGTGAGAGAGAGAAGGGGAGAGAAAGAGCGAAAGAGAAGAGAAAGAGAAAGAGCGAGAGAGCAGAGAGAGAAAGAGAGGGAGAGAGCGAGAGAGAAAGAGCGATAGAGTTACCACACTGGCGAATACAAGGGTATCTCAATCCCTTTAGAAAGCTCTATGCCAAAGGTAGGTGGCATTTACAAACCTAGCAAAGCCTTTTTAGCCTACAAGCGTGAGAATGTCTAGCCTATGTGCCAGCTTTTACCACAATAAATAAAATGTCCCGTAAAATATGCAGAGGCTCAGACTAGGCAAAAAGCTGTAGTATGCGAGGCGCGTGCGTGGGATTTCAGAACGGCAATCAGCCCTTATGGATGCGTAATCGTAATCAGCATTTCTGTTTTGAGTAATTCTACTCAAAATTGAAATTTCGAAGCTACCAGACAGAAAACCGAGTTGGTGACGAACATTACCCAAAAAATATAACTTTGTTGCGGAAATATTTGGGGGAAAATCGATGGGTTCGGCAAAATATACTTTTTAATGCGCAGAGATGGGGGTCTCTTAATGCCCTGTATGCTGAGACGTATTAGATCCTTTAAATAAACTTTCCTTTGAGGCCTTCAAAAAGAGGAACAATTTGATTAAATTTAGAGCGGGTAAGGTATCTGGCTTAAGGACCGGAATGGATTCTAGCGTGTCGCTTTCCCTTTAGTAAGATCTCAGAGTGTCTATGAGATATTGTCTTAGGATTAGGAATCTTGGACATTCAGGATTCTGAACCCGCGCGAATTCCGGCTTACGGTATGTAGGTGGGTGCAAAGTCCATGCGAGTTTTTGCGTGGGAAACCTTTTCGTGTGCCAAGATGTACTGGTTAGGATGGAAATGTCGATATATTTTAGGCTTTTTAGCTTTTATGCAAAAAAAATGATAGCGTGCGATCTGAGAGTTCAGACACGGAAAGAATACTTTACTTAACAGGATTCTTCGACAATGATCCCGGAAATGAACCCTAAGGTATTTGTTGTTGCTGGAGTTCGGCGAGCGATCATTTTTTGCAAATTTTTTCATAGGGATGCGTTTTCGAAAATCACAATTTCAAATTATCTTTCGAAAAAGTCTGCTAATCCAGGTTCTTGAAAATATTTTCAACGTCAAAATTTAGCATGGAAAAGTCTTTCGAACGCTCCCAAGGCCCGTGTATGCGGAACGTAAAGTTGTGATCTATTTTCCGAAAACCTGGGAAGAACGGGTGAGATTCCTGCATAGAAAAACTTGCTACTGTTTACTGCTACTGAAAACGTTCTAAAGTTAGTAAATTACGAAATTTTCCGGGTTTGGAGGTGATTGTTTGATTTCTGCCTGAGAAAGGCAGGAAAAGAGCGAGAGAGAGAGAGAGAAAGCGAGAGAGAGAGAGAGAGAGAGAGAGAGAGAGAGAGAGAGAGAGAAAGAGAAAGCGAGAGAGGGATAGAGAGCGAGAGAGCGATAGAGAGCTGGAGAGCGAGAGAAAGAGCGAGAGAGAGCCAGAGGGCGAGCGCGTGAGAGGGCGAGATGGCATGAGAGAGGGAGGGTGAAAGGGTTTAAGATTTCATTAATCTAACGGAAAAATTCCACGTTTTAAGCGAGTCCTGATGGATTCGAACCATGAAAATCCAATCGTATTTTGACCGGACTGGACTTTTGACTTCCTGGTTCCTTTAAAAAAATTGTGTCGTAAGCTGGCACATTTTTTCGATATAAGCCCTGGTCTGCGGCCCCGCGACTTACGACCAAAACCAAATGATGCGCTTGTTCTCAGGACTGGAGGTATAGCCCACCCAATGCTGACTTGATGCTAATTGCGCCAGTTCAAGCTCAAGTAGACCGCTTCCCGGAGAGTCCAAGCTTTTAGTTTATGAAATCAGGTGTTGGTAAAACGCCTGAAACTTGTGAAACAAAAATTGTTAGAAATGAAGGAATTTTGAAGACTAAATAAAGCGGATTATCGTCGGTATAGCCAAACACGAGGGATAACGTGATTTTTTGTGACTGACTGACTAACTGGTCTTAGGATTTACGCATATTTTGTAAAAACTTTGAAATCAGGCGGCCAGCCAGTCCGGCCAAAATGAATACAGCACGCAAGCAATCCCGGGGGTATATCTGTAATCCTATTAAGAATTATAACAAAGTGGCAGCCATTCAAAAATACATTTCGATGTTGCGATCTCCACAGCAAAAAGTGAGGTGGAGGATTTTTGTAATTTTTGATTTATTACCCAGCATATTCAGTATAGAAAAAAAAGACAGACAAAAACGGGAATCGTTCTTAGGGATTTTCGCTTGACTGCCTAAGGCGATAATTGGGAGAGAAGGGAAAAATTTCGTCATGCTTTTGTGTCAGAAAAAATAATTAGGAATTTAAGTAAGTGTACTCGTTAAGGAAACGAAAGATTACCGGCAGTAAGCTAGATAAAATGTGTAAAATCAATAAAAAATAATATTAAAATATCGGGATATATGAATTTGCAGAAGTTACAGGCGTATTTTATGTTATTTCGAATTTCTCTGATTTGAGAAAAATTGTCCAACCTGTAGGAGGTTCCTTTAGGTAGGCAATACTTGCAAAGGACATCCCTGTTTTGTCCCTCTGTGGTTCGCAAATAGTTATGAGAAAGGTTTATCCAAACCGCGATGAGTTTCGAGTGGCCACAACTAGCGTTACCGGGGTAGCTGTTGACTTTTCGCCGCGGCTTTGGAAAATGATGTAGATAAAGCTGAAAATTGCATAGAGTTTCATTAGATTGAGTTTAAGTGCTTGGGTTGTCAAATCTCCCCTAAAATTTCAAAAAAATGATAACGTTTCATAAGGGTAGATTACCTGACAACGAGCCATTGAAGCTGCCAACAAGCTGTGCCTAGGATGAAGAGCTCAAAGACGCTGGCCGCAATTTGGTTGAAAAATGTGTAAAGTGCCAGGCTCGCGATCTCGCCCGCGTTGAATACGACAAGCTAAAAACCGCGTCGATTGCTCGTGGAACCTTCAAAACCATTCTTCTATTGAACGGAGATTTTAAAAAGGATATTCACAATTTCACGTGTTGTCTTGTCACATTTTGCGAATTCGCCGTTTCAATGGCATATGAATGGTGTGACTATCAGTCCGATTCGAATCCTTTTCTATCGAGAAATATTGGGTGTTTTTTATTGGGACACTCCCTAGACCCTGTAGTCGGCTGGGCGGCTTGTCGCGCTTGCCGGTATTTTGAAAGGGGCGGCGACATAAAATTCCGTGTTACGTGATTTTTGGAATTTGCCAGATTTTACAGATGTTCGCACCAAACAGCGCCTAAGAGCGTTTCAGCGCATTAAAGGTACCCTAAATTCTCGTTGGTTTCGTTACCGGCCGGCAACCGTCCGCCGGGATAGCAAACAGGGTTACGGTAGGCCCCCGCCGCGGAGCAAAACCGTACCCTGACTGCCAGCTTGGAGCAGCGCCTTGGACCACTAGGCCAAGGGAGAGACGGGAAGGGGGGCGGGGAAGCGATAAGAAGGGGATTGGGTCGGTTGCCGCAGAGAGCCCAAATTTCCTACCGCGACCGAACTTTTTGAATGAGGTTTTAGTGTACCTTTAAAGTCAGCCTTAAGTTAGAGGCGCGCAAATCTGATAGCGTAAGCCCTCGGGCTCTGTATTGAGCGCGTAATCTTATGCAAAGTGTCACGGGTTCATCCGCAGAAGCGCAAGCTCGGTGTCTTTTTTGCCTCGATAGCCCGCTTCCACTATCCCTTTAATCGATCGCTTACCTGCGTAGCAAACCGCAACTGCCAGCCCAACTGACTGCGTGAATTTGTCCCGGAGCGGCCCCTTTCCAACTTCTAAAACAATCAAAATTTTGGATTACGAACTCGACGCGGACCTTCAGCTGAATATTCAGCAAAAGTAAGGAGGACACCTCCATAATGGTCGTCACCCCAATTTCGAGGTAGCCGAATTTGATCTAGAATCGCGGTTGTATTTTGCCTTTCGTTGCCACCTGTGAAATATCGGAGTATATCGGACCACACCCTCCCTCGCCCGCATAGAAAAAGATGAACGGGTCGGTGTAGACAGATGGGCGACAATCGGCTAAAAATCTTGCTTTTCTGATTCTTCGAAAAACGTACGAATTAGGAACGGGATATTGAAAATGACGGAGCTGCCAATTAGCGTCACATAGCACCACGTTTTTGCTTTTTCCACATGGTAGTAGTATTTGCCATAGAACGCCACGGACAGCCAGCGGTTTATCGCCAAAAATATCTGACAAGCGGGCGTTTTTGAGGGAAATCCAAGTTTTGGGCAGAATGTCCAGAATTTGATTCTGACTGAATTACCCTCTTTTTCGAAATTTACTTAAGCGGCGTTTTCAAAAAGTTACGTCCCCTAGCGCATTTTAAACTAATCGTCAAATTCGTATTGTTTAGACTCCTGCAAACATTTTTCAAGAAATATTTTGTTAAAAGTAATTGGTACACCTTGTGCAGAAAAAAAAGATGATTTCGGATCGGTTACCACGCGTAAAATCTCAAAAAAATTTATATACACAAAAATGGTTGTTGGAAACGGCTTCTATAAAAATGGTTTTTCGACCGGTGATTCCGAAATTTTGCGTGAGGTAATCAAATAGAATTTTTGCTGGAGTCTAGACTATTACTATTTTGCAAAATTTCACCATGAAATTTGTTGTACTTTCTGGAGTATGCTGGTGAAGCCAATTTAAAACGGGTTTTGCAATCAGCGCAAAATTCTCCAGAAGATAGGCTTGGTCTGGCTCAAAACTGAAACGTCCACTCAAAAACGTCTGCTTGCGAATAACAAGTCTAATTTCTATGCCTGCGTGCCTTACCCGGGCTACGTAGGCGACAAAAACGCTCGCAAAAATAACGGTTGATATAAAATAGTTGACGAAGGAGAAGTCGTATTGAATGTGCCTAAAAGGCTGCGAATTTCAATAATGGGAACGCAACCAACCAAATTGCGCTTGGTACCGCCCAACCAAAGTGTCCGAAATTGACAATAACTCCTGTGGCTGCGTGAATTAGGCAGTAATGCTCGACGATACCTATAAATTGCATAACCATTTTCCAAATGTTGATCGCAACAAATCATCGAAAGAAAAACTCAAGCTACCTATCAAAAACGGGCAGCGCCTAATGACGAACAGAGAGTGGAGTCCAGCCGCCGTGCCAAGGAGGCCGATCTGGAAAATAGAGAATTAGGACATTTTTCAGCGCATCCACGTAGGATAGGTCTCGATCTATAAATCGAAGTTCTAGATCGAAACACTATAATTTAGGAAATTTCTAACAAAACCAAAAATAACCCTGAAAATGGGACTAGTAAACATTTTTTTTGGGATTACATTTTTGGCATCCTGTTAACGCTATTCGATGGCGTACCAACAAACATACTACGATTTTTATTCATAGCCGAAAACAACGTAATTGAAGATCAGAGCAGATATTGACAAAAAATTTCCTTATGCCGCCCCCCTGCTAACGAACCAGAACTTAAAATTCCAACTCCAAAAACTACCGTTCCACAAATAACAATCTGCCACTCGTATTCAGATATCTCAAGCAGCATCGAAAAAACAATAATGAAAAAGTCGGGATTCCCGATCTCGCCAGTCTTGCCGCTCTTCCGGTTTCTAAAGGGCGACCTGGTACAAATGATCGGTTTAGTCCGTTTAAGCGTAGCCGTGTCTCTTGGGAAGTAATGATGGGTGTGAGCCGGCGACATTCAAAATTTTCCAGGAGTTTTTAGACCGAAAGCCTCGAACCCCCAATTACCATTCCACTAGGGACGCCACTAGATCGGATCCGCTTCGCCCAAAACATTTGTGTTTTCGGTGCTTTACGCTCGGAACAGTGTATTTTTGTCTCTCTCTCTCTCTCTCTCTCTCTCTCTCTCTCTCTCTCTGTTCTCTAGTCGTCCTTTCATATCACCTTGTTTCTCTCTTTTTCTTTATGTCTCTCGCGCGCTCTCTCTCGCTTTCTGTCTTTCTCTCTCTGTCTTCTGGGAGATTAAGTGTGATGTAAAAAGTAAGAAGTGGAGCACAACGTCAGCAAAGAAAAAAACGATAGATCAGTCAGAGAGAGAGAGAGAGAGGGGGGGGGAAGAGAGTGAAAGAGAAAGACAAGAACTTTTGAATGGTTCTATGACGATAGTCTTGCGCTTTTCCCCTTCGTCGACGACAATTTATCGTGGTTTCCTGCTCTTTTCGTTTTCTTTTTTGAAATACATGTTCAACGGCTCCTTATTCTTCGACAACCATGCTATCCGCTTCTGAAAACATATTTTTTGCGTCTGTTTTATTGCTTTCAAAAGAGGGAAATAAGGCAACAAGTAGTTTCACCTTCCCATGTTCTACTTCACTATTCCATTTCGTAAGCGAGTCACGCGTTGTTTCGCGGTTGTCAGCAAGGAATTTTTCAAGCTAAAATATTGTATTTGTCTATTGTCTACGGTATTTCCAGTAATACTTACCGTGACTAGTTGCTCCTGAGTTGTGACGCTAACGCCATATTGGATCAGGGTTTGTAGCGACAGTATCGATTCGCCAAACCTAAAAAATTAAGGTTATTTTTGGTAAGTGAGGAATTTTAACCAAATTCTGAACGCGAAACTATAACTTCTGCCTTTAGACTACACATTACGTTAATGACGCGTTACAGCTGGTCTTAAAAGAAAAATACCGCTCAAAAATCCTTGGCCAATGCTTCAACACAAAGTCGGTGCATAGCTGTGAGTTGAACGGACGGACGCCGACCTAAGTTAACAGAGAAATCTAGACTTTGTACTTGCAAAAACACAATAAACCAGAATGCCGACACAAAATTCCAAATTAATGTGGATATCAAGGCGACTTGCAAAAAGGATTCGCGGCGAAATTTGCTTTCCCCAAATTGGACGTTTTTGTGACCTGGTTTTTTGTCGGCATTTACTCTGTCGCTATCTATTTTGCCTAAATTTGCCTAAGAATATTTGGAATGTCGGCATTGTGGCCTGGATTTGCTAGAAAAGCCGCAAGGCTGCTATTTCTTTGTCCATACCATTGCAAAAGCCAGCATTGTATCACCCAACTGGAAACCGTTTCTGGTCTCCAAGGCATCAGTGAGTAAGGTGTCGATTAGTTTCGGGTCCTTGGCGCACGACATTCCGAGTATCAGGTAATTCCTCTCGTTCACACCGGTCTCTTTCCAAATTTGGGTTTTTGGGTTTTACTATGGATTCGATACCTTGAAGTAGTCTCTAAAGCTCTGGAACAACTTCTCGTCGCCGCCTATCATAGCCGCGCAGTAGATATCACCCCTCACGTCGATGGGAACACTTTTCAAAATTATTTTTGCGACAAGAAAATGTTACCGGCTACAACTTGATGCCAAATCGTTGGCAGAGCAGGTGGTGCTGAATTTCTGGAAATATTTCGCCTGACGAAAGCGTTTTTTTATTTAACGTGAATTTTCAGCCGCTCATTTTTACATAAACTCAAAAACCGCGTTAAATTGCTTTTTGATGTTTTCATACACGTAGTATGCAAAAAAATGTGCAAATTCCCACCTCTTTAAAAATGTCCTGCATCTTTTTTATACATTCCGGTAGTTGCATATAGGCGCAAACACTCGTAATATCACGAAGTAAGGAGCTAAAATTAACTTTTTCTCTCTTTTTCTTTCTCCCTATATCGTTCTTTTGCTCTCTCCCCGTCGCTGCGTCTCTCTCTCTCTCTCTCGCTCTCTCTCTCTCTCTCTCTCGCTCTCTCACTCTCTCTCTCTGTCGCACCTCTTCGCAAAATCCTCATCGCCCATAAAATTCGAGCTATCTAGGTCCACTTTTTCGAGTAATGGATTCAGTTTCCCTCCGATATATGCCTAAAAGCAAAGTAAGAAACAAAACTACAGTATTCCACCTTCACAGCCGATCCCGCATCGGCAGCTTCCGGCCCCAAATTAAGGGCGATGACCAGAAATTGCTTGAGCGCTGTTTTCCAGGGGCACAAATCGGTTTCCTGGTCCAAATAGCTGGTTAGCCGAGTAGCTGTCTAAAAAGTGGCCAAGGTACCTTATGTCTCGATGCCACAAGATTGAAAATATAAATATAATTCCTCTTTAAATCGAGAATCGATCGATAAATCGATGAATCGATACACCTACTTGGTAAGGTAATTCTCCAGCGCTAGCCAGCTGAAAAGCGTCGTCGATTAGTCGACAGCGTCCGAGTGGCGGTATTGCCTGGAAATGTCGTTGCGTACTTTGCTCTGTTTCACTGTAGCCCTTTTTGAAGCGAGAAATCGTTTCCCGACCTTCGGATCCTTGTCGAGCTGCTCAGCGATCTGCCCCCAAAGTTCTGCATCGTAGTTTACGCGGTAGTATCCAATTGCCTCGGGATTGATCATTAAAGTGCCTCCTCGTTTGGATACATGAATCGTAATCCCTAAAATAATAGAGCTGGTTTTACGTTACGGTATCTCCTACTCTCTTTATCAAATGGCAGCCACACTATTCTTTGAGGTCGGCCGCCAACCTGGTACCAAATTGGTATGTCCCACCTGTAGCCAAGTGGATTCTCAGCGTATCTAAAAGCTCTAATCCTTAAAACGGATAGGTATCGAAACGTTTTGAAATTGGAAGCAGTTCTTCAGCATCGATCAAAACTTACTGCGCCTGGTCCTTCTGGCTCGGGTTGGCTTTGAAGCGTTTTTGGCGGATCTCGACTGTATTCTCATCTATTCGTCGAACGGAAAGTAGCGGAAATCCCATCTGAAAGGCGTCTTCCTTATTTTCGGAAATCACCGTTTTACCTGCTGTATCCAAGGTATTGAGAATTTCGGCAGATTGAAGCGAGCCCCATCTGGGCCTAGAATCTGAAAAGCGAATTACACGGGCCTAACTGTAAAGTGTTTTTACTCAGGCTGACCTTTTAGGATGGGACCAAGCCTATCTTGTTCAGAATTTTTTGCTGATTCCGAATCCGTTTTCGAAATTTGCGGCGGACTTCGCGTTCAAAAGTCATTTGGGGTCTAAATTAAGCTTAAAAACGGCATAACTTCGGATGCTGGCCCACTATTCCCTGCTTGGGACTAGGTATTGTTGTGCCCCTGATCCACCCTCCCGAAGCCCGCTTCCCAGTTGGCACCATGGTGCATTGGTAAACTGTTCGCTTGCCAAGCACAGGGCGGCGGTTCGTACCCCGCCCTGCACAATTCCTTTTGCTTTCTGCACAAAGACATTGATTTTTTGCATAAAATCGCGCTTTGACCTCTAAAACGGTTACCGAGCCAGTTTTAACGTCGGAGGTGACGACAACTTAAAAAATAACGCAAAAAATCCAGATTTAAATAAAGATCGGCAGCAAATTTAGAAATCAGATTCGGAATCAGCAAAAAATTCTGCACAAAGTACGATTGGTCCCATTCTAAAAAGCCTGCCTGAGTAAAAACACTTTACAGTAAGAAAGAAATTTTGAAGCTGAAAATCTGTTGTTAACGACGCTAAAGTCATATGTTATTCAGTTCCTCACATCTTCCGGGACGTGCTCCCCCAAAACGCGAAGCATGTCGATGGCCGCCGCGTTGGAGTAGGCGTATTTCTTGAGGTAGGCCTGGAAAGATCAAACGGCTTTTGGATTTTGGAAGCGAAATTTATAGCCTAGAGCAGCCTAGAGCAATCCAACTGTCACCATCCCTTTAAAACTTATAGGAATGCTTACCCGAAGTCCTTTCTTCAGGCTTTCCGTTCCAATGATTTTCTCCAGCATCCGGATAAATGCTGCCCCCTGAAGAGCTGACTTTTCGAATTTAAAGGGGGTAGGGGTTAAAATCTACACATCCAAGTATCTAGAAGTACGCGGCGATCCAAAAAACGCCTGGAAACCATTTAATTCATTTTAATTTTGTTTCGAATTTTATTCCCACGAGGCAAAGGATTTGTGTTCGGTCGATCTAGCCGATGGAATTTGGACACCACGCTAGCTTTTTTAAGAAGGAATAAAATTGAAGTCTCTTACCTTATAATAGCTAATATGATCAAACGCATTCGACGCATCGCTTCCGCGAGTGATTTTGAAGGATAAAGGATGCGAATTTCCAGTGGCATCCATCTCGAACGCCTTTGCCACCGCTTCCGTTTCGAAATTGGACGCCTAGGATGTGGAGGCAAATAATTTCAGCACCAAAAGGAAGGTGCACCTCATGAAAATGTCCGCCGGATGCATACTCAGCACCCAGAAATTCCATATGCGTGCCGAAACCCTCGTTTAGCCACAAGTCGTCCCACCATTTCAGGGTGACTAGGTTGCCGAACCACTGAATTTCAAAAAAAGTAATGCAGTTCAGAAGGGTTCAAAGAACTTAGAAGCAAAACGTCTTTACTGGTAGCCTGGGGCACGCTAACAGATATTCTTTAAGACAGACCTGATGGGCCAGCTCATGCGTGACGATCCTTGTTACCAGCTCCTTTTCCTGTAGGGAGTTTCGCTAAAATTTGCTGTTTTGAATCTCGTTATCGACTGTGCCTCCGGATCGTAGTTTAAACTCTGCTCCTTGTACGTCACCAGCCCCATATTTTCCATCGCGCCGGCCTCGAAGTTCGGGATCGCAATCATGTCTGAATATTGTCGTATTTAGCTTAATCAAGGTGAAGGGGTCACCTTGTTTTGGCATCGGGAAATTGATGCCGTAGTACTCTTCAAAATAGTCCAGTACTTTGATCCCCACGCTCAGGGCGTATTTTAGATTTCCGACAATTGCTTTCCGAGACCATAGTCGTACCTTAAAAAGTTCGTATAAAAAAAGTAAACTGTGTGTTATCTCCGGCGCTTCGTTTTAGCCCCATGTTCTACGGCAAATCTCACAAAATGCAGCGGTTTGGGAAATTTGCCTAATTAGGTTTTTGTTGTCTTTCAAACATACAATTTATTGGCTATTTATAACCTCCACTCAAAGCGTTAGAAAGCCTCAACATACCCGAACGTTACTCTTCGTTCTTCCCTCAAGGTACACAAAATCGTTGACCGTAAAGGCAACCAGGTAGGTGGATAGTAGAATCGTTTCCCGGAAAGTACTTTTCAGCCAACCGGGCTGATCAGGTCTGAAAAAAGTCTAAGAACCCCGTAAATCAAAAATTACAAAGGTATCGGCTCCCCTTCCTCGATCCCATTCGCTAACGCTGTCGAGCCTTGAGGGTGGATTATCTCAAAAAATCACAAACTAGCTAATTTCGGATTTGTCGCCTACCGTAACCTTCCAAGCAGCTTTAAAATCTGGTTCGTCAAAACATGGAAAAACCCGTCGGGCGGAGATCGGTTCAAATTGAGTGCTGGCGATGGTCCTGAAAGGTATTTTGGCTTAGCTAAAGTTTTTTTAAACAGCTTAAAGCCGCTTAGATCACAAAAATGTAAATTTAAAACAATTGGCAAAATAAATAAAAATTCTGAGTTTTCTGTATTATACCACCTACCGTATTTCCCCCGTTTCGCTAAGATATGGAGCTTTATAAAGCCCACGGAGGCTATCACGAATTTTTCCAGTGTAGGAAAACTAAAATAAAGCCAGTTAATCCTTTCAAAAAGTAAGATTTAGCAGATGGTATTTTTATATCTAGAGAAATGCGATACCTTTAACATGAACTCGCTTCCGGGAGGTAAAACGGTCGATAACCCGAGTGTTAGCTTTTCCAACGTATCGTCCTGTTTCATGGAAGCGACATGCACGAAAGTATCTAAAATTGGTAGTGGCTTTGAGGTATACCTCTTCTTTTTCTTACCTCCCGTATGTATCAAATAATCGCGTGGATCTGTAGATAGATTTAGTCCAATCGAATTTATCACCATTTTATTCGTAGGCTTTAAAGTTTTGATCTAAAATTAAAGTTGTTGTACAATAGCAATCTAGATAACCTACCTTCATCATAAACTCACAAGAAAAAGTGTATTCCTCAGTTTTCGGTATCGGAATAAATCCAGGAAGATTAATTTTTAGGGTTGCGTTGTACCTGAAAGCTGTTTATCGGTACATTGAGGATGTGAGTAACCAGATTGGTGTCAAATCTCTGGGTAATCGCAAAGCTTCTGGATTTATAGAATCTGCAGTCAATTTTGATAGTCTCGGGTGCGCAATTGCCTAAAATGTATTCATAGAGTCTTTCAAACAAAAAAACCTACGTCAGATGCTTCGACTATCAGAAAAAGTAGTAGCAAAAATTCGGCTCGACATCGCCTACGATTTTTCATACCTAGAGCAAGTATTTTGGCTAGATATAAAAAAGGGAGATGCGAGAAAACAAGCTCGAGATAAAGAAACACATAAACAGAAAACCGGATAGAACGGAGGACGAGAAGACGGTAGAAGATTCTCAAAATAAATAAAAAGTCCGTGACCGTCCGGTAAAACCCAGCTACCGGAAGCGACAATGATTTCATCCTTCAAGCCAATAAAAACACAAGCGTAAAGGCAACTGATTGGATGGGAGAAAAGATGATGATCGAAACCCCTGTATCTCTTTTCCTCTTTCTCCGAAAAGATCTCGCAGTCGCTTGTTTGGCAAATCTATCCAAATCTGGGGATCTCTGAAAAGCAGCAGAGCGAGAAGAGAAAAACGAGACGTTGATCCATAGTTGAAAAGGCGTGAAAAACGACTGCACCAAGTCGATGGCTAGAGGTGTCTAGAAATGAGAATTGCATCTTTTGAATATTTTTAAATTAGCATCCTAAAAATTGCCGAGGGTTAATCTTTCAAGCCAAAAACCCCGTCATTTCCAGCAGAACTCCCCTACCACAATGCCCCAAATTTATTCGGTCTTCACCATTTTGGCCTGCTGCTTCGTCGGCGGTAAACTTCGAGATTTCGGATTCAAATTTCAATTCAAATTCCAGGGTATCTCGTGGCTGCCCAAACCGTTGAAGGAGATTGCGTCGCGATTTTTTCGGATGCTAATCGCCGGGATGAGGTATATACGCGGAGATTTGGTCCATAAATGTGTTTAAACGTTATGTTAAAATCTTCTTCATTTTTATTGTATTTATTTGATTTTCCAGCTCAACGAATGCTTCATCAAACGCGTCAGCCAAAACCTCATCCGAGACGGTATCGTCAGCTCGGAGAAGGTATCTCTCGGTTCTCTCCGTCTCTCTCTCTCTCTGTCTCTCTATCTCGCTCTCTCTCTCTCTCTCTCTCTCTCTCTCTCTCTCTCTCTGCCTCTTGTTTCTTCCTCACCAACTCCAAATTTCTAGGCCGCCCAGCGCATCCTGCACGCCTCCCGGTCGCAGCGTCGCAAGTGGATGTGCAAGTCAGGCTTAAACTTTTATTAATGCAAGGAGATCTACTTTCCTAAAGGTACCCCGACGCGCTGAAGCCGTGCGCGTGCGGTACGGAGTTGTTGGACGGCTTCGAGATGGAGGGCGTCTGCAAGCCGGAGTACGATGGACCATTTATGCCTCGTGGGTCGTCGAGTTGGCTTTTGCCCGTCCCTTAAGGGACTCACGAGATCCTGATAACCGTCTTTTCCAGTTGGCCGCCCGCTCGGCGACGTCCTCGAGTGCGAGCAGCAGCTCAAGTCGAAGTCCCGCACCCAGGAGGTAGCGTCAAGTTCGGGGAGATCAACTTGATTTGGTTCATTTCGATACCCACTTTTGATTTTTGCAGATCAACCGCTGCGTGGAGAACTACGTGGTGACGCTCGTCGCCTCGCAGGACAAGATCTCGGAGGAGGTACGGAAATCAATATCTCGAGATAGACTAAAGTTGCGGGGTTTTGGCTAAAATCAGCCATTTTTCAGAACGCGCGCGAACTGTTCCAGACGAATCCGTCGTCGCGATTTGACTGGATGTGCAGGTGCCGTTTTTAAAACTCGATAACCTTGAAGGCAGGCTACAAACTACAACTTGACATTTTCAGGTACAAAGAGCGCATCGAGAACGCTTGCAAGTGCTCGGCGGCGATGATCGAGCGCGTCGACCACGCCTACTGCCACAACCGGAAGTTGACCATGGATAGTACGTCTATACCCCTCATGCTATCTTTCGCTTGCTCATTTTCTCTTTTTCTCTCTTCTCTCTCTCTCTCTCACACAGCTTTTTTCAGCCATCGACATCCGCAACTGCATCGAAAATCCGGACCCGCTGGTCCGGGCTCGCGACTGTGAGTGGATGTACCCGGTGCCGAAGACGAACGCTAGCTGCAGGTTTTAAAGGGTGTTGATACAATCACCGTTCTGAGCTTAGCGACCACCTGAAGCCGATCCAGTGCAAGAAGCTCGTGTTCGAGCAGTGCAAGCCTGGCCGCGGAGCCTCCTACGTGAACCTGGCTCTGAAGGGGGTGAGAGAAAGCAGGAGAGAGTTAGAGAGGGAGAGCGAGAGAAAGAGAGAGTGAGAGAAACAGTGGAAGAGAGAGAGAGAGAGAGAGAGAGGGGGGAGATAGAGAGAGAGGCAAATTGTGTACATCATGCTCCGCTTCAGAGCGACATCGGCCGCCCCACGGATGCGATGTGGCACGCGTGCGAAGACCACCTTGATGAGCTTCACGACGTTATCTTCCTCTCGCGCTCACCTCGAGCTCGCTCCTACCCTCCGTCGGAGTGCGACTTCAAGTGCCCGGTGCATGGCATGGTGAGGGGCTTGAAATCGCTCAAAGCATAGCCATGGGTTTTGCCGCGCCATGACACACAGCGTATGAGCTTGTCGTTTTTTCTGGACTGTCGGAAGGAGGCCGGGAGTGTCGGCGCGTTAACAAAATCTAAGCCATTATTACCGGATTCACACCGATTTTAGATCCATAAATAATGTAGCAAACCTAACAATCTCTAAAAATTTTGGATTTTAGATCAAAAAGTTTGAAAAATCACCAAAAAGTTCAAAAATTCTCCCAATATAGAAAGCTGATTGTTATTGTTATTTTTTTACAAAACCTTACAACACATTTTTCAGATCCCACCCTACGACTGCTTCATCCACAAGTCGCTGCGCCGTTGGGCCAAAAACGACACTTTGGAGATGGACTTCTTGCACACGGCCGGCGCCATTGATGTGCGCCTGGCTGGCGCGTTGGCTGTTTGCAAGTAGGCTGATTTTCCGAATGTCATTGAACTCCTTGCAGCCGCGAGCCGAACGACACTGCACAGCTGCTAACGTGCGGCAACTGCTCGACGCGCTACCTGGAGACGTTCGAGGAGGCGATGTGCGGCTTTGGGCTGCCCAGTGCTGATGGTGGGCAGAGTATCTTTGGCGTAAAAAAATCGATATTTTTTGATATATCTTTGCAACGTTTTTATTTTTAGAAAAAGCAAAAATCGTTTAAAACAGCAGCTCAATTTTTTGTATTCGAAAACCACTATATTATTTTCAGTCTCTGCCATCGCCAAATGCGCTGTTTCGGATCGTCGCGCCGCGCAGCGGGCCTATGATATGTGCATGCTGCCGACCGACACCTGCATGTACGCTAGGATACTGTAATCCTACTTACCCGAATTTTTTTCAGTGATGTTGTCATGAAAATCGCCTGCATCCGCGACAACCTGCTGAAGACGTGCTCGGCGGCGGAGCACAACAATTTCCTCGACGCCTGGGACCACATTTGGGAGCAGGTGTGTGCCTAAGCCAGAGCCTCACTTAAGCCTAAGCCTAAGCAAAATCACCGCAAAACTTGAGCGACGTCAAAACCTAAGTCCCAAGCCTATGCCCAAGAAGCCTAAGCCCAAGCCAAGCCAAGTCAAACCTAAGCCTAAGCCTAACCTAAGCCTATGCCTAAGCCCAAGCCCAAGCCGAAATATCTATTTTTTTCAGATCTACTCGGCCGTCGACCACCCGCTGCCCCGCATCTTTGACATCAACACCACCGACTGTCTCGAGCTGGCCAAAAAGCGACTTGCAGCTAATGCCACGACGATTCATGGACTCCCGGAGGAACTGGTAATATCGCAGATTACGGTACGACAACTGAGTCGGAATTTAGCCCCTCAACCACATGCCGCTGTTCGGCGACGACCAGGACCCCTACCACGAGGAGGAGGCCTCGGCCCCGATATTCTTTATGGCTATCGGTGCGTGATTTTCTCTCTCTCTCTCTCTCTCTCTCTCTCTCTCTGTCTCTCTCTCTCTCTCTCTCTCTCTCTGTCTCTCTCTCCCTCTCTCTCTCTCTCTGTCTCTCTCTCTGTCTCTCTCTCGCTCTCTCTCACGCTCTGTTGTTCTAGGTCTGCTCTCCATCCTCACCGGCTGCATCGTCACCCTATTCGCCTGCTGCGTGTGCAGCTGCTGCCTATTGTAGGGCACTACGCAGTACACCTATTTACGCTCCACATTTGTGCAGTGTCTACAACATGACCGACGAGACGAAGCGTTACAAGCGGCAGGAAGCCGACTACCGGCGCACCGAGCGCGAGTAAGATTTTTTGAATTTAAGCCTAAGCCTGGCCGAAGCTAGGCCTCAGCGAAGCCTTAGCTAAGCCTAAGCTAAGCCTAAGCTAAGCCTAAGCTAAGCCTAAGCCAAGCCTAAGCTAGGCCTAAGCTAGGCCAAAGCTAAGCCTAAGCTAGGCCTAAGCTCGCTTAAGCCAAGCCTAAACCCAAGCCAAACCTGAACCAATTTTACGTTTTTAGACTTTACGCCCTGGAAGCCGAGCTGCGCGTCAAGTATGCTGATGATCCGGTAGGCCTGAACCGGCTCTTTTTCATTTACTGCCTTTTTCCAGAAATACAACAACGTGATGTCGGTTGCCACGAAGTCCTCCAAGTCCTCCAAGTCGTCCAAGTCTTCCAAGTCTACGAAGCGCCGCTCGAAGCGCCAAGCCAAATCGACGTCGTCGAAGCGCCGTGCCGCCTCGTTGAAGCGCCAGAAGCGCGCCTCCAAGACCAAGAGCTCGTCGCGCCGCGCCAAGCGCTCCGCCTCGCGCTCGTCGGCCAACCGCTCGTCGAGCCGGTCCCGCGCCTCGAGCCGTTCGACCCGCTCGACGCGTCGCGCCTAGGTACATCAAAGGCAGCTTTGTTTTGAGCATGATTTCCCAAATTTCCAGGCGTTCCATCGCCCCAACGAGCTCAACGAGTTCAATACCAACAGCAGCCCAGCGAGTCCAACCACTGGCCCGCGTATCGTCTTCTGCCAACTACAGAAGACCCGATTCTCCTCATAACGCCTCCTTCAGCCCGTCGCCCCGATTGCCATGCTCTTTCTTGTATCGTTTTTCGCGAACGCACTAACTGTCTTTTGTGTCGAATAAATGCTTGTGGCGGGCAGTACTCGAGTAACAATGTTCAGCGTTTTCCTCTCTCACTCACTCTTTCTCTCACTCTCTCTGGATCTCTCTGTCCTCTCCCCCTCACGCTCGTTGTCTCTCTGGCCTCTGCCTCTCTCTCTCTCTCTCTCTCTCTCTCTCTCTCTCTCTCTCTCTCTCTCGCTCGCCCGCCCGCCCGCCCGCTAAAATCCGGAGGCCCAAACAATAGGGCACTTTATTCTAATAACCTTCGTCGCCATAAAACGGTGGCAGTGGCCCGAAAGGTGGGATTGGAGCGGGAGCAGGTTGAGGTTGAGGAGCTGGAGCCGGAGGAGCAGGTGGAGGTGGATGCGGCGGTCGAGGTACAGGGACAGGAGCTGGAGGAGGGCGAGGAGCTGGTGCTGGGCGAGGAGCTGGGCGAGGAGGCGGACGAGGAGCTGGAGAAGCCGGTGCAGGACGGGGAGCGGGTCGAGGTGCCGGACGAGGCACCGGTCGCGGTTCCTGCGGCAATACCGGCTGAAAGCCGCCCCCCGGCCGTCGTTGGTAGGTGATGATGATGGGTTTTTGTTGCCCAAATCCTCGGGCTCTTGCTAGCAGTGCCGCTTGGCCCGGCGGAGGGTGAAATACGGACGGCTGGGGAGCGTGGGCCTTAAACGGTATTTTGGAAACTTTCGGGTACTGGGGTATTAGCGGGGGGAGGAACCAAATCTTTCATCAACTACCTGCTGACACTATACAAACTACAGGGTGTCCCAATATAAAAGGTCACGCTGGCATTTTGCTATTTCAAATCCGACCGACTTGAAATTTTGCACAGAGGTGCGGAAGGGAATTTAAAATGTTCACAGAAACTTTCAGCTTGATCGGTACAACAGTTTTCGAGTTATTGTAAAAATACTGTATTTCCCACACTTTAGCTTCATTTTTTTGGCTATCTTTTTGGACTTTGCATCAATTAACATAAATTTCCGGCTCTAAATCCCTTGTTCTTCTTCACATCGGCGTGGTTAGCCCTTGTTAAAAAATACTGAAATAGCCTTTGTTCGACCGGAATTTTGCGATATAAAAAAATTCCTAGGATAAAAAAGGGTCGGCGCTTCATTTTCTCCATACATTCCAGGGCTCAATTCCGGCGGAATCCAGGTCAAAAACGTAAAATAAAGTTTATTTTTGCTATAACTCGAAAACTACTGTACCGATCGGGCTCAAAGTTTCTGTGAACATTTTGAATTCCCTTCCGCACCTCTGTGCAAAACTTCAAGTCGATCGGATTTGAAGTAGCAAAATGCCAGCGTGACCTTTTTTATTGGGAGACCCTATATACTATACTACCTATTTGTGTATTTGTCACATATCTTTTTTTCTAGTTTTTGATTGCTGTAATTTCATAAAACACGCCCAAAAAGATCCGAAAAATCTGAAAAAAAAAGTTTTAAACCGAAAATATTTTTAAGTAGAAATTTTATGAGTTTACAATATCGTCTCTCTAGTAAAAAAATGGAAAATACCTGAATCAAAGCAAAAAGCCCTGCCACGCATAGCATTAGCAAGTCATACCGCCCCGACCACATTTTCGAGAAGTAATCCGATTTCTGGTGGGCGTTGCCTTATATATTGCCTTTGATGTCATGCCGACCAGTGTTCTCGATGACTTCGCTTGTAATGTACGATTTATGGTGGGATTTCAGGGTTTGGCCAAAGCAGAGCTCAGGGCCAGAGCGTCAACACACTGATTTTTATCGATCCTATCCGCTTTAAGGTATCTCTCTCTTTCTTTTTCTCTGTCTCTCTCGCTCTCTCCTACTTTCTCCCTCGCGCCCTCCCTCTCCAAGTGTGATAGCTCAAACAATCAACCTCTTTATTCTTCTAATAACCGCTCTCGCCGCTGAGGGGAGGAAGCGGCGGGAATGGAGCGGGAGCAGGTGGGGGCTGAGGCGCTGGAGCTGGAGGGGCAGGTGGAGGCGGAGGCGGAGGACGCGGCACCGGGGCTGGAGGCGGAGGTGGGCGAGGGGCAGGAGCAGGGTGGGGCTCCGGCCGCGGTTCCGGACGATGTTGGTGATGCTCATGGTGGTCAGGGCGAGGCTCGGGTTGAGGCTCAGGTCGAGGCTCTGGGCGAGGTTTCGGGCGACGTTCATGGTGATGCTCATCTCGATGATCATGATGGTCCGGATGCGGGTTCGGGCGAGGTTCGGGACGATGATCATGGTGATGCTCATCTCGATGCTGATGATGATCCGGATGCGGTTCCGGATGCGGCTCAGGATGTGGTTCGGGCCGATGATCGTGATGCTCTTCACGATGGTCATGATCATGGTGATCAGGTCGCGGTTCCGGCATTGGTGACCGACGATCCGGCGCAGGCCCTCGCTCCTTGACACTATCGGGACGCTTTTGGTAGTGAATATTCCGGGGTTGCTGAACTGCCCCAAATCCCCGAGCCTGCGCCGAGGGTGGACTCCTGGGACTTCCCGGATTCGGCGCACCGCGCGAGTTTCCCGTACTCGGAGGTAGGCCACGATGATTGCCAGACGAGTGGGCCTGCAAACAGTCACGTAAGGATTTCACAAGGAGATTATTTTCGAAAATCAGAATTTCGCAAATTTCAGGAAATGGCTGAAAATGGTATTAAATAGCATGGCAAATTTTAGAAATGCTGATTTTCGAAACAGCAATTTTTCGAAAATTTGGCGTTCAAACTATTGTTTTTGGCAAATATGATGGCCCTGGCATTCGTATGTAATTCCAAACATTCAAATTAAAACCGAAATTACCTGAATCATTACAAAGAGTCCAGCAGCGCATAGCAGTAGCAAATCGGGAGGAGGCCCCATTTCAAAAAGTAGCCCCATTGCCAGTAGCCGTTGTTTTATAGATGCCAGTTGATGTTGTTCGAACATGTATGCTGGGTCACTTTGGTCATAATGTACGATTTATGATGTGAGTTCCGGGGATGACGGAAGCAGAGCTCATGGATGGAGCTTTAAAACATCACAACGGAAGCGAAAGAAAGAGGGAGAGGGAGATAGAAACCGAGAACTAGAGAGAGGATTGGAGAGAGAGAGAGAGAGAGAGAGAAAAATGGAGAGAGAGAGAGAGAGAGAGAGAGAGAGAGAGAGAGAGAGAGTGTGTGGAGAGAGAGAGAGAGTGCGTGAGACCAGACAAGCGAAGAAATCATTTTTAGTCTAAGAGTTGTTTTCCGAGACTTATTTTCAGAATTTTTCCAAGGTTTCATTTTTTTGCAACGGTTTCATCAATCTGCTGTTGCCTGATGTTTAGCCAAAAACGGAAGCGCCCGGAAAAATGTGTATTGGGTGCGTCAGGGTGGATCCGGCTCCTGGCCAGGAGATAAAAGGCTAGAAAATTTGTGATAAGCCTTTCTAGTTGCAAACCCAGCAACGGAAACAAGAACCATGAGGTGGGAATAATATTTATTTTATCATAAACTGTAATTTTACAGGTATCTCGTCGCATTAGCGTTATTCGGAATTGTAGCCGCTCGTACGGGCTTTGATGCTATTGGCGCAATTTCCGTCAGTACGTTTCAGTGCCTGAAGAAGGACGGATATGATTTTTATGTGGCCCGGGTTTGGCAGGAGGTAGGTAATTTCTCAGAAATCGGCCATTTAGCGGGACTCGAGACCCTGTAGTTTGTAGTTTGTATCTTGTCGTCTTTTGCTCGTATTTTTGTTGTTAATGGTTTATTGAAACATCTAAAAAACTCACAATACAAAAACGAGCATACGATACTTTCCAGATCAACAACTACGACACCAGCGGCATCCAGAACATTAAGAATGCACGTGCAGGTTAGTGGATTTAATGCTACTTGCTTTCAGGTTTTATAATCAGGACTTATCCATTCTTCTCAAGTTGGCATCATCCTAAATGTATATTTTAGCCGGATTCACCGACGTCGACGGCTACATCTACCCATGTCTGCGTTCCAATTGCCCGGCTGGCGCGAACCAGGTTGAGGCCGTCATCGACAAGCTGCACGCGGATGGGGCTACTGTAAGCTTTGGATAATCAACGTGAAAGGGAGAGAGAGAGAGAGAGAGAGAGAGAGAGAATGAGAGAATGAGAAATCTTGGCTTCCAGATCGGCACGCTGTGGCTTGACGTTGAGGGCACCTGGCCGTCCGACAAGACGCACAATCAGAACTTCATCAAGGGAATGGCAGACGCGGCCGAGGTACGTATTAGATTTTGCGGTTCATTGTCGAACGATAACTTTCAGAAAAAGGGCGTGAAAGTCGGTGTCTACACCGGTCAATACTCGTGGCCGGAAATCGTCGGATCCTGGACCGGGATGTCGAAATACCCACTCTGGTGGCCCAACTACAACAATGATCCGGGCTTCGGAAGGTGGGCGAGAGAGGGGGAGAGCGTGAGAGAGCGAAAGAGAGCGAGAGGGGCAGAGGGAGAGCGGTAGGCGTAGAGAGAGAGAGCGAGAGCTAGACAAAAAGAAGGCAATCCGCCTGCTTCAGGTTTACCTCCTACGGTGGCTGGACCAAACCAGCAATCCATCAATATCAGGGAGATCTGACGAAGCGTCCGTGTGGCCTGGGTGATATGGACCTTGATTACAAGGCTTAAACGTGTATAAATTTTGTATACAAATATTCCCTGTCAACAACAGAGAAAAACGCGAGAGATCCGCAACAAAAAAAAACCGTAATCCGCGAGAAAAACTTTTTAACATATCAAAAAGTAAAAAATATAGCTTTCGCGATCCTAACGATCGCTCTCGTTCTCTCTATCCCTCTCTCTCCCTAGCTACACAGTGTATTTTCTAAAATTTCGGAAATTGCACCCCCGAGCGACCTTCGCCCTTGCCCAACCCTAAGACGACTTTTAGAAAACGGTTATCTCTCCGCAGCCCCGCCCCTTTCCGATCTTTGGCCATAATCACAATCCAAGAATAGCTGCTCTGGGTCAGCAATCCGGATCTATAAAAGGTCAAAAGATTGTGGATAAGAAGCTTGTCTTCCGATCGGGTCCACCATGAGGTACACTTCATGGCTATATTCATTTCAATCTTTTAAGGTTTTTTGTAACATTGATATTATTCGGATCGGTGGCTGCGAAAAAGGGCTTCGACGCGATTGGCACAATTTCTGTTAGCACGTTTGAGTGCTTGAAAAAGGATGGATACGACTTTTATGTGGCCAGGGTTTGGGAGGAGGTAACTTAAACTTTTTATGCTTCTGGATCACTTAATTGTCTGGAATTAGGAAGATTTATAACTTCAGATTAACAACTACGATCTCAGCGGCATCCAGAATATCAAACACGCACGACAAGGTAAGCTGGAAGCGCTGGGAATTCGGTGAATTTACCCCTTTTGTTGACTAGGTCTCGGCAATTGCGTTAAACTCGCATTTCTAGTTTTAAAAAATCTAAAAAATTGGATTCCCGCGTAGCTGGCAAGGCATAGGCGAGTCCAGCGCTTTCTGGTAGCTTCAAAACTTGACTTTCAGCCGGCTTCACCGACGTAGACGGATACATCTACCCGTGTCTGCGCTCAAATTGCCCGGCCGGGTCAAAACAGGTTGAAGCGGTCATCGACAAACTACACGCAGAGGGCGCTAAGGTAAGTAGGTACCGTAGTAGCGTATGCGCCACATCCGCTTGGTCATAACCACGCATTAATGAGTATCATCCTGTCAGATTGGCATGCTTTGGCTTGACGTCGAGGGTTAGTGGCCGGCCGACCACGCCCACAATCAGAACTTTATCAAGGGCATGGCTGAGGCGGCTGAGGTTGGTTTTAAAGCTGTAGTTTGTAGGCTGTAGCTTTTAGTTCGTAGTCGAAAGGTTGGTTTTTTTTTCAGAAAAAAGGCGTGAAAGTCGGTGTCTACACTGGGCAATACTCTTGGCCAGACATTGTGGGCTCCTGGTCTGGGATGGCAAAGTACCCGCTCTGGTGGCCCAACTACAACAATGATGCCGGGTTTGGGAAGTAAGTAAAAAATGATGTAGAATTTTACGGCTTAAACGTCTCTGTTTTCGGCGAAAGAGGAAATTAATTACTGCTCAGATTCCACGAATACGGTGGCTGGAAGAAGCCGGAAATACATCAATATCAAGGAGATCTGACCAAGCGCCCGTGCGGACTTGGCGATATGGATCTGGATTATAAAGCTTAAAACGTGTATAAATATGTGGTTACCTACAAAAGTTTACAAATTCTTGGTATAAAAACAGTTCAACGACCCGAAAATACTTTTCAATGGGGAAACCCACCCCGCGATAAAAACATTAATCTTTCCCGAGTTTTCCTGTTCAGCTGACACGCAATAAATAAATATAACTTATATAAAGTGTAAACTAAATTAAAATGTTGCTCTTGTCCTGGCGAGTAATTTGGTATACCTTACAACCCTGTATGTTAATGTAGAGCCAAGATACACTAAGTACGGCCCTTAAAGTTCACCCTGGCTGGCCCTTCTATTGTTGTCCTTGGTTTTTCCAGAGATCCCGTGGCGCAAAAAGCATTTGCCTCGGGTTTTTCAGATCTTCGAGCTTTTCGCTATTTTTGGAACACCTCCGGACTTTTGGACTGAGAACCTGAGGCCAAAACAGGGGAACGCTGGGGCGTCAGGTGGTGTTTTTGGTCGGGGTCAGGGGTTCGGGGCTACGATATAAAAGGGAGAAAAAATTAGCGGCTGCAAGTGCACACTCTTGTTGCAAGTTTTGATACGTAAACTACAGCAACGATGAGGTAGGATCAATATCGTCTTTTCCTTAGGTCTTTTTACCACTTGCAACTGCCTAAAACTCTTTGAAATACCTGGAAGCGCTTAGACAGAATTTCAGTTCTGGTTCATTCGCGGGGGGGGGATGAGGGAAATCTGCGACAAAGAACACCCCCTCCCCCGCTAACAAACCAGCACTAGAACTCCTATCCACATTCTTAGCTCTACGTGCAGTTTTGGAAATTTTACGGGAGAGGGCCTATATGAATCTGTACGAATCCGGATCGGCAGAATTTATCAGGTTTATGATATTAGAGGGGTTTTAATAAAAAAAAACGCGGTGTTTCTCAACATTTATGGATTTTTTCCAGGTATCTATTCGTATTTGCTTTGCTCGGAATCGTTGCGGCGCGTACCGGCTTTGATTCTATCAACCCGATTTCTGTTGCCACTTTCCAATGCTTGAAAAATAAGGGGCACGACTTTTTTATCGCGAGGGTTTGGCGGAATGTAAGTTTCGAGTTCCTAACAAAAACTTAAGATTTTTAGACACCATTTGTAATTAGCCTTTTTTAAATCGAAAACGGCCGCTTTCCAGATCAACAACTACGACCTCGTCGGCATCCAGAATATCAAGAATGCGCGGGCAGGTATAATTTTGTACAAAAAGACATTTAAAAGGATGACTCATATGATTTTTGAAAACTGACCATTTTCCAAAATATCTGATGTCCCAAACCCTTTGGCATGCGATTTCCAGCCGGATTCACCGACGTCGACGCCTACATCTACCCGTGTTTAACCCCGGGCAAACCAGCCGGGGCAAACCAAGTTGAAGCCGCCATCGACAAGCTGAACGAGGAGGGAGCTAAGGTAATACAGAGCGAGAGAGAGAGAGAGAGAGATAGAGAGAGCGAATGAGAAAAAAAGAAAGAGAGAGCGAGAGAGTGAGAGAGAGTGAGAGAGCAGGGCTAGAGAGATATTGTGTTGTCCAGATTGGCACCCTGTGGCTCGACATCGAGGACGACGACAACAACCGAGCATGGCCATCCAACCAGATTCAGAACCAAAACTTCATCCAGGGCATGGCTGACGCGGCGGAGGTTTGTTCTTTTATTCAATGGTAGAATGATTTTTTAATCTGGCTAGTAATTGTACGTAAATCGTCGTCCGTAGTTCCTCTGCGAGCGTAGAAAATCCTAAATTTCTGAAAGTTTTTAAATTATACCTTGTTAGTCACTTTAAATCTTTCAAAAACCGCTAATTATACTACTGAGGATTTCAGGGCAAGGAAGTGCGAGTCGGTATCTACACCCGGCAAAGCATCTGGCCGGACATTGTCGGATCGTGGACCGCGATGTCGAAGTACCCCCTCTGGTGGTCCAGATACAACAACGATGCTGGATTTGGGAAGTGGGTGGTTTGACCGAAACTAGAGAGAGAGAGCGAGAGAGAGAGAGAGAGAGAGAGAGAGAGAGAGAGAGACAGAGAGCGAGAGAGAGAAAGGGAGGAAGGGAGGGAGGAAGAGGGAGAGAAAGAGCGAGAGAGAGAGAGAGAGAGAGAGAGAGAGAGAGAGAGAGAGAGAGAGAGAGAGAGATAGCTAGAACTAACGTCCTACACTTGAGGTTCGTCCCCTTTGGCGGCTGGAGCACGGCGGAGATTCACCAGTACGATGGAGACGTGAAAAATCCCCCATGTGGCCTGAAGGATATGGACCTTAATTATAAGGACTAAGTCATGTATATAATCTCATGTGTTGCGTAGCTCAAGCCCAAATACTGCTTTTAGAAATGCTCCAGAACTACAGTGATCATGAAACCCCGCCTTAACAGCTTTCTGCTCGCGATATTCTCTGTTTTATCCTGCTGCCTAGCCTTGCTTTAATTTACTATACTGCCGATTGTCATAAAGCTTCAGTGTTCAGAAACAATTTATCAATTACGAAAACCATCAAACAAAAATATTTTATGCCATCGTGGGGTGGCTGGAAACCTAGCGTCCCTTTGTCAGCTGGACGAGCACGTCGCCGAAGATCTCGAAGAACGCCTCCCAGGCTTCCTTGGTCTAGAAAAAAAAACAGGTATATTACCATGGAGAGTGGTAGATGAGAGCTTAGAATACAAAAAAGGGCCAAAACTACAGTACCCCAGGGTCGATGGAGCCGTTGGCGTTCTTCAGCACCGCGAGAAGACTTGGGGCCATATGCTAAAAATAAGCATGAAAGGTGAAAAGGATAGGAAAAGAGATAGAGAGAAAGGGAGAGAGAGAGATACCTCGACGTGTGAGCGCGAGATGTTGAACTTGATGTGCGCTTGAGCGATCTTCTTGATGATGTCCTGCAGCTCCTCCTCGTTCTCGATCTTGCTGACGATCGTCTGAAAGTTGGAATTCTAGCGCCAAGCTTTAGGGAAACTAACCCCCAGTCCTTTCATGTATACGGTAGCATGGGTGCGGAGCTGATCCGAGCCGACGATCGAACTATCCGGAATGGCACGGAATCGAGGCCAGATGTCCTTGTAGTCTGGGAAGTCGGCGAAGAGCCTGAAAAGCTCTCTCTATATCTTTCTCTCTCTCTCTCTGTCTCTATCTCTGTCTCTCTCTCTGTCGCTTTTTCTGGGCGCGCCGTTTCGTCATTCTCCGGAAGTTTCAGAACTCTGCAAATCATGCTATTCCAGAAGCTAGCGCCGTTATCATAAGCTGCTTAGTCACCGGTCCCTCCCCAAATCTCTAGCTCCAAACCATAAGCAGGTACCTAGTTTCAATACTTGCCTCGCTTGTCCCAAAAGACAGCAAAGCTGGGAGTTTAACGTACCGAATGAACAGCTCGTTCCCATATTTGGTTGGGTTCTCGGCCAGCTTGGCGTATGAGACCTTGATGGCCTGGCGCTGGTCGTCAGTGAGCGGCATCCTCGGCAGTTTATGGGAGCTGTCCTGCAAGTGCTGATGGGGATTTGGAGATGTAAAGAGTACAGCAACGGACTGAAAAAGAAAACCTTGATTGCAACCCTCAATTTTTCATAGGGCGAAAATTCCATCCGGGGCCTAGCCTATGTTGCCCATAATTTTTCGTTGATTTTGAATATGCGTTTGCTATTTCCGAAAAGTCCAGATTTGCAAGGTTTTAGCGGTTTTTTACAAAATGACCGAGTAGGCCGCTTTTAAATAAAGTTTAAAAAATTGTAGAAGGCTTTCTGGGTAGACATAACCATACCGTGAGGCGGAAAATCAACTATCTGACGAACCTTTCTAGGAAAATCCCTTTAAAACTTCCGCTAGCACGCCAATCACAAGGATCGAAAATTCTCAAAGAGTTTCTGCTAGCTCAAGGAATAGCTCAAATTTCGAGAAAAATACCCTCGATAATCTCTGCCAGGTTGCTCCAGGTAAGCCACAGAACGCTGTAAGTTTTTCTTAAATGATCCCTGCTGGCCTGCCCCTAAGCATCGATTGGATTAAAGGAGCAACGAAGGCAAAATGTATGGGCTAGGTGGCAAAATGGAAGCTTTAAAATTTATTGATGTGCTGATTTTTTAGAGTTCATTAATGCTAATTCATGCACTTCTGTTCTAAAATCCCAACCTGTTTCTGCAGCTGTACGCGGCTCTTCGCCGAGCCGTACATCCAAAAATTCCGGGGTACGCTAAGCTACGCGACGATACAAATGACTAGGCTAGCCTTGAAGGTGGGGGCAGGATGGGATTTGTAGCCGCGGGGCGTAAATTGGATGCGCTCTAGTTCGTCACCAAGGAAAGAAACGGAACCAGACAAAAGACAAAGGGGAATTCAGGTGTACGGCTTCCGCATCCCGGGGAAGAGGTAAAATGAGAAAAGATATTCTACCCCTTGCCGGGATTCCTCCAGGGGATTGTCTCGCTGCCCTCGGTTACCATAGCGAGAATCCGGGGATCAGCCGTCTCGGCAAGGCGTGAAAAAAACTAAGGATTCACCTCACCCTGAAAAGGTATTAGGAGAAAGCGTTCCGAATTCGTATTGTCATATAAAGGCCAAAAATAGAGGCGATTGGAGGAAGGGGAGGGGTGTTTTCGGGAACGACTTCGGCAGATTTAAGCGCCCTCTATCGGACGCAAAAAAGTTTCACCGTCACTTTTGCTAAAAGGAAAGTGAGTGACAGCTAGAGAAACAGGGAAGAGAGAGAAAGAAACAGGGGGAGAGAGAGAAAGAGAGCGAGAGAGAGAGAGACAAGCAAACCGCGATAGAGTTGGAGCCGTTCAACCTTGATTTAGGAGATCGATTTAGATTTTGTTAGTTTTGGAAGGAAAGGAACGAGAGAGGGAGAGAAAGAGAGTGTGCGAGAGAAAGAGAGAGTGCGAGAGAAGGAGAGAGAGAATGAGAGCGAGAGACTGTGCGCAAAAGAGGGAGAGAGGGAGAGAGAGCGCCTGAGCGAATGAAATTAAGTGTCGTCTCCGCTTCATCAATTTCCAGGTACCTTGCCTTCTAACGTATTCTTTTGAGAGCCTGTCCTTTAATTCTCACAGCTCGCGATTTTTGCAGATTTTTTTTGTTTTTAGACATTTTCGATCTTTCCCTACCGAACCAAAGAATATGACGAAGCCCCCCGCAAAACGGGCTACCTCAGGTTGGCAGGCTTATTATCCGGGCGCTAGATATGCGGCGATAAGGAGGTGTCGCCGGCGCCCCAGCGAGTTCAGATTTTGTGTTTATTGGGCTCGTGGTCGGCAAATTGTCACTTATTCCTGTGGTCCTGTGTCCGTCACTTTCAACACACTCCAGAAAATGCAACTTCCGTCAAAAATTGCACTGATTTTTGTATATCTTACTGTAGCTACCCTTTCTTCAGCATACCCAATTTTGACCGGATTAAAAGAAATAGGTAATTTGTTGTTAAGGTGAAAAATCGATGCATATTTTTTAGAAAATCTTGTCGTGCCGTATGCCACCGAATTTTATTCAGCTGAACCGATTACCGGTGAGTCTTTTTTATTGAGTAGTTCATTATTTACCCCGACAAGCGCGGGTTTTTGTACTTTCATTCTTGTAGCCTTTCTCTAGGGTAACTATTTTTTTAATTCATTCGAAACATGTGGTAGTATGTGGTAATTGTTGGCTGAGAGTTAAGTACCTTAAAGTTTTTAGTTCGTCCCACTTTCGATACTACCACCGGGAAAACAACGACAACGACAAAGGCCAGTGATGGCAGCTCGAAGAATCCGACGTGGTATTACTTTGGTATGCATTTTCTTATATTATTAAGGCGCCAAGGACATGTCAATATCATAATGCTATTTTTATTTTTTAGCTGGTGCCGGTGCAGGTATGGGTATCTTGGGAGTGTTCGTCTTCGTGTGCCGGCAGATCAAGATGCGGTACTTCCCGAAGCAGATCTATAAAAAGATGTGAGAATTGGTTTATATGTATTGTTTTATTTATTAATTTAAGTTACACTATCAGATTGCCATTTTATTATTCGTTATAATGCTGTGGCATTTCAGGTACAAAGACCTACTCACCGTCAAGAAAAATCTTCCTGAAAATGTGCAGCAATGCCTGGAGGATGCGGCGATGAAGGAGTAAGTAATGGTTTTCATAAATTTATTTAAATGTTGAAACAATTTTCCTGAATTTTTTTGAAAGCTAAAATAGGTAAATGTAGCACTTTTAAATCCTTTTTAGTTTTCAAAGCTCCGTCTGCATCAAGGATCGGGAATACGCGCAAAGTTTGAAGCCCATCCGAGTTGGGGCTCAGAAGAATGATTATCGACCTTATACCCTGGATCCTAGGTAGGATATCTTTATCTCGGTCCCTCTCTCACTCTCTCTCTCTGTCTTTGTCTCTCTCTCTCTATATCTCTCCTTTCCGCACGCTCTCACTCAATTTCTATCGCTCTCTTTCTCTCTCTCTTTTGCTCTCTCTTTCTCTCTCTCTCTCTCTCTCTCTCGCTCTCTCTCTCTCTCTTTCTCTCTCTCTCTTCTACCGTATCCTTTTAGTGCTACCCGCCCCACCGATCCCTGGGAAGTAGATGACGACACCTTATTCGTCTCTTCCCAAAAGCTAGGCTCCGGCGCCTATGCTATCGTTTTTAAAGGCAATCTGAAAGGAGCGCCACCGGTCGTCAAAATCTTTCCGAGACTCAAGGTATCAGATTTTAAGGGGCTCCAAATACAACTTTGTAGATTTCCGCTCTCTACACCGACGATGAGCACCACGTGGCGATAAAAATGGCTCACACGCATGCAAGTGATAAGGACAAGTAGGTTTGGAGTGGTTTTTGGAGCTTTTGACGTCTGCAAACTGGGCTTTTTTAAGTTTATTAATTTTCAGAATGGACCTCCTACAAGAAATCGAATTTATGAAAACTCTTGACGTCCACCCACACGTCTTAGGAATGTTGGGATGTTCCAAGGACTTCAAGCAGCCGCTAATTGTCATGGAATTGTGCGATCGAGGGGATTTGCTCTCGGTGTTGCGTAATTCAAGAGATCCGGAGTATAAAGTAAGTGAGAGAGAGGGAGAGAGAGGGAGAGAGAGGGAGAGGGAGAGAGGGAGAGAGCGTTGCAGCGGACGTGAGAACAATACGTTTTTCTAGGAAAAACTCACCAACGACGACCTCGTACCTCTCGCGTGGCAAATCAGCGATGCATTGGTAAGCTTAACTTAATTGTAAAGCTCTAGAATCCGATTAGATCTAGCACTTAACAGCTACATTACACGCGGAATGACTCCTAAAAACGGATTGGGATTTGGTTGAACTTTGGGGCTCTAAAATCATCTACTCAAACGAGTTTCAGCGCCCGCTTTTAGACCTAATCAGAATAATGTCGATTCCGGCTCTTCATAGCCCCTGTAATTCAATATTCTGTGAATCGAAAAATTAAAATAAAGGGTTTTTAGAATTTTTGATATATTTATAGGCCTACCTCTCATCCCGAAACATGATCCATAGAGACGTGGCGGCGAGAAATGTGCTGTTAACGAAGGAGAAGATGGCCAAAGTGCGTTAACGGAAGTACTTTTTATAGAAGTTGTTTTAGTTGAGTGACTTCGGGCTGTGCCGCCTATCTAGTGAAATGTTCTATACAACTCGGGGCGGAAAGTTGCCGATCAAATGGATGGCGCCAGAGTCGCTCGAAACTGCCGTATTTAGCGAGAAGACTGACGTGTGAGTATCACCTTCTTTTTACCATTACATTTGCGTTAATGAAATCGGGGATACGAAAAACTATTAGAAACATACCTCGAGGCGTCCGAAACACAATTTTCATGCCTCTCTGGTTTTTTAAAGGCAAATATTGCCCTCAAAGAGGCTACCTGTTAGAACTCGAAAAAACTTCATTTTTTAGTTGGTCTTTCGGCGTCTTTCTCTTCGAACTGTTCACCTACGGCACCTCGCCCTACATGGCCATCGATCCGGAACGTATGCTTGAACATTTGAAAGAAGGCAACAGATTGGAACTGCCAGAAGAAAGTCCGGAAAGAATGTAGGTTTTTATTTTTATTCTTTTAGTGATGTCTTATATCTGGAAATGCTAATGTAATATTTTATTATCATTTTTTACACATCCGATCTCTAAATTATGAATTTTAAAAAGTTGTAAAAATTGCTTCGGGATGAAAATCTGGATTAAATTTAGGATTTTTCGCGTTTATTGTGTTTTAATATTTGTTACATTTTGTATTTACGCTTGTCACTTTTTTAAATCCCAATTTCAGCGTCAAGCTCCTCGCCTCGTGCTCAGAATTCGATGCAGCGAAACGTCCAAACTTCCAGCAGATCCGAAGCGAGCTCTACGACCTCGTATCGGAATCCACGGAACAATACGGCTACCTTGAATTCCGCAAAAACTATTATGATTTTGTCGTGGCGCCTAAACATTGTTCGAGTAGTGAAAATCTTTAGTTTGTTCGGGTTTTGATTTTTCGTTTTGTTTTATTTTTATTTTGGTTTTCTTACTCTTTGTCTACGGGTATCAACTGATGGCTGGCTGTGTACATAATAAACGTGATAATGACATTTTCAAAAAGTTTTCAAAATGTTTTTTTTTTCTCAAGTCCTAAACGCATCAAATTTACAAATTTCTGTTAAAAAGTGCAAAAATCTCGATTTTTTTAACAATTCAGTGCTTTTTCCAAAATTCCAACTTAGCATTTCTGAAATTTTACGTGGTTTTATAGTTCAAAACAAATTATTGTAGGTTAAAAACAAGACCAAAATGCTTTATATTACGTTACTAGACATTCCTTGACTTATACAAACAAATTCGTAAACGTTGCGTGCAGCTTTCTCATTTTCAAAATAGCTCTTACTTTAAAAATAGCAACTTTTTTCTGCAAGGATTTTTCTGCATGTTTTTGGCCTATATTTTTTATATTAGGCCCCGAAAAACATTGCTTTATCACAAACTACAACCCCAAAAAGCACCACCAATTTAATTCGCGTGGTAATAGTCGGAGTAGGCAATGCTGGGATATTGGTAGTCTTTGGTCTTCTTGTTCTTCTTATTCTTGTTCTTCTTTCCCTTCTTCCCGTTCTTGCCCTTCTTCGTCTCCGGCACGTCGTCGTAGCTCGAGTAGTAATAGTTATAATCTGAACGATCCGACTCCGACGATCTATCGGTTTCATAGTCATCCATCGGCTGTAGTAGGAAGCGCTTGCCAACGTCCTAAAACAGATTTGGTTTTTCCGAGGATTTTTGTATTTACAAAGTAGATTCCAGCATACATCCAATCGATGCTTCGGGCCAGGGTCTGGATGAGGGTGCCTGAAAACGTCTTTGTGAGGAGAAACCGATATCACATCATCGAAATCCATTTTTTGTAAAATTTCGAGAAGCTATTTTTCCAAAATCAGTGTTTCGACACGTCATTTTTATTGAAAATCACTTTTTCGAAAAGTTATTTTTTCGAAAATCACTTTTTCGAAAATCAATATTTCGAAAAAAATGCAGCACTATGTCATACCATATGTGGGCATGCCTTTCATTCAATGCTTCGATTTTTAGCATTTCTGGTTTTCGAAAAAATTATTTGCGAAAATATGACTTTTCAAGGTATAGCGTTTGGCAATCGAACTTTCGAAAAAATTACTTTTGAGAAGGTTTTCGAAAAAGTTAGTTTCGGGGCTGTATTTTTCAAAAATGTCTAAGAAAATTGTTTCTAAAGTTGTATATGGCACTTTTATTCCAAGTATCTGACCTTTTTTAGATTAGCAAAAAAAAATGCGTAACTAACGCTGGTGGTTGTTTCGAGAATTAATTCTTTTCTGATTCACTTACTCAACGCTACCAGGCCGACGTTTTGGCTGTTGTCCGGGTCCGAGTACGCGACCATACCCAACTGAAATCGGCTCGCTAAATATCGCAAAGAAGGTTCAAAAGTGCTCAGAATACTATCGGAAATTTGGTGCTCAAAAAGGTTGCCTGTTGCGCCATTTCCGGGAGCGTTTCGTTGAGGTCCTGGACGATGGGGGTGAAGCGCTTGGTGAGGGCAGGGAGGGCATCGACTTTCTAAAATGGATCTTAAAGCGCACGTTCAGGGACGTTTTTTTTGGAAAAAAGCAAAGTTTTTGCCGCGTCCGGGGGTCGAACCCCGACCGCCCCGCTTGGGAGGCGCGGATGCATACCAGTCAGCAACAGCTACAACCTGGCGAGGGGCGAGGGGCGCCACACGCTGCAAAGGAGGGGAATGGCCTGTCGCAGCACCGCAGGCAGTGCGCGCGGTCCCTACGTCCATAGGATGTACACGTTGGGACGAGTACACGTCCCCTCCTTGAACGTGCGCTTTAAGCGTGCTAAACCCTGATAGACGTGTGAGACGGGTATTTCACTTCATCGCTCCTTTAAAGGGTTGAGGAAAGCTCAGCCAAATTAGCATAAAACGGGCGCTAGTTCTACAATTAGCCCAAATCTTCTTTACTCCCCCTGCCTCGGCCCCATTTCGGCTCAGTTTTTTGCATTAGCATTTCCGGCTGGTTCGTTGCCAAGTATAGATGAGCCCCGACTGGGACTTCCTGATCTCTTTAAAGACCAACTTACGCTCTGAATCTGGCTGGTAAACGTGGAAAGCGCGGCAGGGAGTTGCTCAACGTAGTCGGAAAGGGATGTCGTCATCGGCAACTGAAAATTTGGGCTTTAATTTTAGTTTTTGCTTTGCTTGTATTTTATTATCTTCCATTGCCCCTCGTGGGAAGATGAAATCACCAAAGCCGTAGGTAATACACTTCGTATAATGCGAAAAATCAAGCACCGACCGGGATTGTCAGGCTGATTTCCTTGGCCATGATGCGCAGCAAGTCGATCGCTGAGGTGTTATCCACATTGTCAACGAAGATGTCCTAAAAAGTCGTAAGTTCATCGACAAAGGCCAGCAAGCCAAGCCAAGCTGAGCCACGTCTAACAAGCGAAACTAAGCCGGGGCAGAGACTGCCCGTGTTTAGGCCGGACTTCAGCCAAACCTAAGCCTAGGACTAAGTCTAAAGCCTAATAAGCCTGAACCTAAGAATAAACTTGAGCCCAAGCTTAAACCTATGCCTAAAACGTCCCCCGACCCATCAGGGTCCGCTTCAGACTCTATCAGGTTGGATAACAAGTTCTGTCACAATTTTTTGGAATCGCTTGTTAAAGCTGCAGACGTGCCCAAATTACTAGTGGGATATATGGTTTGATAGGTATCCTCGAGCTCTACCTTGGGTAGACCCTCCTCGCACCCAAAAATTGAGAGTCGCGGAGATAGCGCTTCGAGAAGTTTTCCGCAAAAACGTACCAAACCGATTTTGCAAGCTATCTCTGCATAGAGCAATTTGCATGCGATACCTTTGACACCAATCGATAGCTCTCGAGGAGTAGATATCGATGGATGTTGAGATCATCAAAATCGGACATCAGATGGCCGAGATATCGGCCTTTGAAATTTGGCCCGCTTCTTAGAACTTTTCCCAAAATCCCATACATTTGGTCAAAATGCGCTCGGTTCTTTTGAAAATCAAGCGGTCAGTTTTGGCCGCGGGCTATCAAATGTATGGGATTTTGGGAAAAGTTCTAAGAAATGGGCCAAATTTCAAGGGCCCGTATCTCGGCCATCCGATGTCCAATTTTGATGATCTAATCATCTATCGATATCTACTCCTCGAGAGCTATCGATTGGTGTTAAAGGTATCGCATGCAAATTACTGTATGCAGAGATAACTCGCTAACACACTTTTGCGTCATTTTGCGAAAACCTTGCCGGGCCTGTATCTCGATGTCCCTCAATTTTTGGGACAGCTGATGGTCCTCCCAGAATAGAGTGTTGTGAGACCTATCAAACCATACCTCAAACTCCAGAATCGGAAACATCTGCGATTTTAACGAGCGATTTCAAAAAATTGTGGCAGAACTTATTATCCAACCTGATAATAACCCTACCACAAAATGGTTCAAGTCAATGCCACCGCGAGCCAGGTTATCGCGAATCACTGCGTAGGAGAGCACGTAGGGCTCGCCGGTGTCCGGCTTGCCGAAGTCGAGCGGGATGTTGAAGTTGGGGTACTACAATGAGGTTTAGTGATATACGCGCCTCTGCTCGTATCTACTATCTGAAAATCTTTCTTACTCTCCGTCTCTCTCTCTCTCTCTCTCTCTCTCTCTCTCTCTCTCTCTTTCTCTCACTCTCTGGCTCTCGTAACCTACATATCTTGGACGCGATGTCGTCGTGGGCGGCGCCTCGGCGATTACGGAAGGTTTCTTTCCCTTTTTGGTGGTGGTGGTGACCTCGTCGGTGACAAAGGCATCCTAAAAATTGAGCCGTGTGGGATTCAGAACTAATTTATTTTTGTATACAAATTCATAAGAATTTGCTTACCACCGCAAACTGGCTGATGGCGGCCTGGTCGGCAGGTTGGAATTGAACTTTCTAGAAGCAGATCCATAGTATTTTTCGAGAAAGCCTACCGACTTCCCGGCAACAAGAAGGCAAAGGAGCCCGAGCCCGACGACGCCCTGGAACCCGAAGTGAGACATGCTGAAAGCGCAAAAATATACCCTCAGGCTACCTCTAGAAAATTAAACGAGTAGTTAAAAAAAAGCTAGATCCAAATTTCCGGATCGGCAAAGTCCTGGTTATTACAGTACGCAGCGTTTGAAGGCCCCACAGAGCTTTGAAGCTTCCGATCTTGCGACCAAAGTTTACGGGCTCCTCTCTAGCTCCGGAAGCCTTTTATAATAGGGCCGGGCGGTCCAATTCCAAACGGATTAATTTTTTGGTTGCACCAGGCTGAGTTCCATTTTTTACATCAGATTCGAGCCATGGTCCCCCAACGCTCTTCTGTCTGACCCGAAAAGTATAGAAAAAGCACTCATCGTCGCAAGGAAGATGTACTTGGGGAGGGTCTAGGCACCGTTGAGTAATCGTTAATCATCGCCGGATTAACAACGGTTGGCCTTTACCTTTTTGCTTAAAATACTGGATTAGAGTGTAGAAATTCACGCCATGGTCGAGCGGCTATCAAAAAACGGCATCGAAAAATGTTAGAAAAAATTCATACGCTTATAAGTTGGCGTTTCCCTTCCTAAATTTTTCCTGGTCCAAAGCGATCTCGGATCTAGGAACTCCGTGGAGTTACATAGCGGGTAAGGGTACCAATGTTTCCTAGCTTAATACCTTTATTTCTCAATTTCTAAAAACGGAAGTCAGGCATAATAAGGTTTTAGTTTTGGTTTTCTATAACGTCAAAATTAATCCACTCCCTTTTATTTTTTATGTTAATCTTAGATGAGGTTTTGTTCTCGAACTTCGGCACCTCGGCTCCCTGTCGGCATTTAAATATGCCAAAATGTTCGTCTTGCTCTGGCAAGTATACTATTTAGGTCTAGTTTGCTGCCTGCTCGTGACGGGGTAACCATGCTACGTTTGCTCGTTGGAGCGGAGCTGGCTGGGTGATGGGGCGTTTCAACCATCGGCATGTCCCATCACCCTTAAAATGGTTCCCAGTCACCTGCACGAAAAATCGCCTGATCGAAAATCTCCTGATCGAAAATCGTCTAATCAAAAATTGCCTAATCGATAATAACTCAAAAAGTAGGTTTAACACATGATAGAAGCCTAGAAAAACCCTAAATTTTTTGAGTTATTTTCGATCAGACGATTTTTCGATCAGGCGATTTTCGATCAGGTGATTTTTCGATCAGGCAATTTTTCGATCAAGATATTTTCGATCAGGCGATTTTCGATCAGGCGATTTTTCGATCAGGCTATTTTCGATGAGGAGATTTTCGATCAGGTGACTGCCAACCCCTTTAAAATGTACCCGAAGAGCCAATTTTGTCATTTCCATTCTTCACGTTCCCCGATTTTCAATTTGCCACGATTGTCTGTCTCGTACTCGACTGATCAGCCACTACATTCACGATGTTTATTTCCGCAATCAATATAATCCCTATCATTGCGTGTGGGATATCTATGTTTAGTTGTTCTTGGCGGCCTCCTTCGCGGCCTTCTTCGCTGCCTTCTTCGCGGCCTTCGCGGCTTTCTTTGCAGCCTTCTTGGTGGCAGCGGCGTCGTCGGTCGAATCGTCGTCAGCGGAGGAGTCGTCGGTCTAAATTCGAATGAGGAAAATTAGCTTTATTCTAATTTAGGAAGCGATTTTGTATTTTGTGCCAAAATTCCCAAAATTCCGGAAGCCCCAAGAAATTCTCGCTGAGTGTTACTTCAATTTAGAATGACTTTTTAAGAAGAAGGAATTTTTAAATGAATACCTTGAACAAAAATAGTTCTTCTTTTAGCTTTTTGGCTCAGGAATACAGTAGTCTACGGTATACAAATTTCGAGAACTTCCCAAAGCATTCACCCCAGCTACCAGCCTCCACTTCCTACCGTACCTGGCCATAGTCAGATGCGACTCCGGCCTCACCGCTGTTTGGGGTATAGTCGGCTGGCATGACGGCGGCCTAAAGTTACCATGAGTGCGGGCAACGATCGTTTTCCAGGCGCATTTAGACGAATACGAACAAACGTACGCTGAAGTCGCCGGAAGCGGCAGGATCGGCCTGGGCGTAGTTGACCATGATTTGGGGAGACATACCACCCATCTGCTGCATCATCGCCTTGATGGCATCGCCGTACTGGGCCATGATGTAGTCTGAAGTTTAGCATATTGATAAGCGAACGAGAGAGATCTGGAGAGAGACAAATAAAGAGAGAGTGAGAGCGAGAGAAGATGAGAGAGAGAAAGTGAGATGGCAAGAGAGAGACATAGAAGGATCCCAATTAAGGAGCGTAAAGAGCGGGAGAACCACTTACCGATGAAGACCTTCTTGACCTCAGCGAGGACGAGCGGCGGGTTGTTGGCGACAACATTTTTCATCTTTTTAAGGTAAATCCGCGGAGTTTTAAATGACTTACGGCCTGGCCGGTTTGGTTAGCATTCTGGTCGCGGTTGCCGATGATGTCCGAGAGCTGCTGGGCGACATTGGTCATGTTTTGGAAGAACTGAAAAGTAAATATGGCGAAGAGAGAGACAGAGAGAAAAAGAGAGACAGAGAGAGAGAGAGGGATAGAGGGAGAAAGAAAGATTGAGATACCTGGACGGCAGTCTTCATGCACTCGTCCTGCTTCTCGATCATGGCGTTGATGTGGGCGGTGACGTTAGCCTAGAAAATAAAATCTAGATAATTTTTGGAGTTGCCTAAAACCTGCATGGCGGCTGGGAAAGCCTCGGTGACGTGCTTAATCATCTCATTCCAAGTGGCGGTTTGGCCGTTGGCTTGGAACCAGCTCTGAAAATTGTCCTAGGCGACGTAGGATAGAGCAAGTGAGTGAGAGATAGAGAGCGCGAGAGCCAGAGAGAGAGAGAGAGAGCGAGAAAAAGAAAGAGATATAGAGGGAAATAGGGAGCGAGAGTGAGAGAGAGCGAAACCGAGGAGTGAAGGAGCAGGAGCGAGCGAGAGTTCGACGAAGAGAGTGAAAGAGAGGGGAGTGGGAGAGAGAGAGAAGGAGAGTGAGAGTGAGAGAGCGAGGGAGAGAGAGATAGAGAGAGATGGAGAGAGAGAGCGAGAGATAGCGAGAGAGCGAGAGAGGGAGACTATACCTGGAGCTCGGCGGTGTCGACGCCATATCCCTCGAGCTTGGTTTTGAGCATCGCGAGCATCTGCTTGCCCATTGCGGCCATCATCTAAAAAACCTGACTGCTTTTGGTCCAATGCAGTGAGGAACTAATTCAATAGAGAAAAATGTAGTTAAAGCTTACGGCCGGGTCCATGCTGGGCATCTGGAAGCTGCTGCTGCTAGCGGTGGGCATCAGGGTGGCGAAGTTCGGCTGAGAAACTTAATGATATCTTTGCCCAAAAAACTAAATACCTGAGAGGCCTTGATTCTCTGAATCATGTCGCTGAAGCCGCCCTAAAAGTGACGATTGCAACGCTTAAGTTTTTGGTGTTCCAAAATTCCCAATTTTGTGAAACTTGGTGTTTAGGTCAATGCCGTTACGTTGAACACCTCGGAAAATTCTGTGGAGAACTGAGTTTTCAGTGGATCTCGAGATTTAAGAACCAATCGTCTCGAAACTGAAAAATCCCGTCTGAATAGCATTTTAGCATATTATAGCATTTTTGAATAGAAATGGGATCCGAAAATGCTATTTTCCGTGTAGTGTTTTAGCGTTCCAACACAAAAATTTTCTTGTGAATAACATTTCGCTACTGTACGCTACGATTACGACTACGATATGGTACGGAAAGTTAGCTAAATTTTTCGTTACCGTAACCCACCGAGGTTGGTGATGCCATGGCCGGCATGATGTGCATCGATTGAACTTGCGCCTTCAAGTCCTGAAAGTGAACAACTTAGCTTGTAGGTATGGCTTATTTTCAGTCTACTTGGTCCCTAATTGTTTAGAAAATGTTAGAAAATAATTGAACTAAAAAAATTAAATAAAAAGTTTGAGAAACACAACCACATCGTACATCAGCAGTGGGCATGGAGACCTGGGCCTGGGCGACTGTCTGCTGGAACTTGCTCCTCAAGTCGTTTAGCGCGTTCTGCGCGGCGCCGCTCTGAATCGAGAATTTATTGTAGGAATCAGTTCCAGAAAGCGAGAGGAAGAGAGCGAGAGAGAAGAGAGAAAGAGAGACAGTCAATGAGATGGGACGAGAGAGCGAGAAATAATGAGAGAGGGCGAGAGCGCTAGAGAGTTAGAGAGGTAGAGAGGAGAGTGTTTTTTTGGGAGATGCTGAGGCAGCGAGAGAGAGAGACAGAGAGAGAGAGAGAGAGAGAGAGAGAGAGAGAGAAAGGACATAGTTTTTTTTGAAACCTACCGCCGTGTTTTTGGCCTTCTCGAGAGCGGTCTTGAAGTCGTCACCAGCCTGCATGTTTGACATGATGCTGCCAATCGCCTGGGATTCACCTGGAACAACGTCCAGATGCAATTAATGTAAAATTCCACTTGCTAACATTTTTAGTCTGAGCTTTGACTTAAGGAAATATTTGAAATTACCGGTGGCGATGCTGGCCGCATGGGTGCCGACGAGAAACTGAAAAAATCAATTGAGGATTTGCGTAAATATAATTAGTTCGAAGCGTTTTTTCGTGTTTTTATGTGTAATTAATAAACTTACAACGGTCAAGCTGACCGCGACGAATTTCATTGCGTGGTGTTGTTGATGGGTTGCCCAGAGGAGTTGAGATACTGAAATCAGCAGATGACCGTGGTTTCTTCAGGGTGTTACATGTAAAAAATTCACAATGAGGTAGCAGAACATTTTTGAGGAAACCGAAAAGAGGCCCAGCTAGAGAAAATCCACTTCAATCTTATGCTTCCGCTAACGTTTCAGCTCAGGCTTTGCCGAAGGCCAGGATTTGCAAAATGAAAAACTCTGAAAAGCTATGAGGCATGGGGTATCGTTGCTCTCAAAAATTTTGAGTCTAAATCAATACGTTTGAAAATTTATTTTAGTCTTTTTAAGTTACTTTTAAGTGTTAAAAATAGCGGCTGATCTAACCCGCAAAAAAAAGTTTGAAAAGCAAGGATTTGTTACAAATTTTCGAACCGAATGCCCCAAGTAACTGGAACCCCTAAAAATTAAACTCCTAGAAAGCTAGTTCGCTATTAGGATTATCTTCCGGTTACGGTAATCGTGATAAAGCGCCAAAATTTCCTTTTTGAAATTTTTTGATGGAAAACTGGCAACGCCAAGCTGCTAAGATCGTCATACAATTCAAACGGGAAAATCGATGTATTAATGACTTCCGGTTACCGTAATCCCGGAAAGCTTCAAATCGTTATGTCTGCTCTCCATGAACCTTCCGCTTTTATACTCTGCCGATTTTTCCGCCAATTAGCGCCACCACTCACCTTTTTGGGGACACAGATTCCGAACTCATCGACCACCCCCACTTTTTCGGCTTCATCGAATAAGCCTGAAAATCGGCAAGCGCAGCTTATGGCCAATTATTGCTGGGTGTGACTGACCGCCGGCGTGGTCAAACTCGGTTTTTGAAAACCCCCACAAAAATGATGAACATTTTCTGGTTTTTTGGGCTCGAAGGGAGGGATGAGGTTTGGTAAAGGAACTTCAGTACAACCGAATGCGAGGTTTTGTTGTTGTGACGGATTTCGAATCCATATGGATCGTGATCAAGTCAGAAATCAAATTTTCTATTTAAAAGTTTGTTTCAATTTCATATGCCATTACAAAAATTCTGGAGCATGAAAAAGGCGGGAAAATCTGAAAGGTTCCAGGCGTTGTTTCATGTTGTCGAAACCTGACATTTGGGAATTTGATTTGCTTAAATCTCGACGAAGTCGAGCTTCGACGAAGTGATTAAACCTAATTTTCGAAATTCTAACGTTAAATCGGAACGACTTGCTTTAAACCAACAGGTAAAATCAAGGGCGCCTTGTGCCGCCCAGACAAATACCGGCAGCCGCAGAAATACGGCAGAAATTGGCGTTCCAGATTCACAACAAAAATGTTGATAACGGCGTTTTGGTGTCGGCATTTGGCTGGAATCGTGTCGCAAAGGCAAATCGCGAATTATTGCGGGATCCAGGCTCTTTGAAAGGATCAATGGCTAAGATTTTGATTATTCCGGATCCTTTACTGTTCTTACTTTGCAACGTCCAAAAAATCGGTCTAGACATACCCAGCTGGAGTCCTGTTGCACTCCTGCGCTTTTCGGGACCCAAATGCTTCAGCACCAACCCCCAAGGGCGCTTTTCATCAAGTCGAGGTCAGCCTGGAATTCGCTGCAGGGCAGTTGTCTGGCCGTTAAAATGAAAAGTTTGTCCGATCCATTAATGGGATTCTCTTAATCTTTCTCTCCCCCTTCTCCCCGCTCTCTCTCTCTATCTCTCTCGCTCTCTCTCTCTCTCTCTCTCTCTCTCTCTCTCTCTCTCTCTCTCTCTCTCCTCTTACTTCTGAAACGTTTTATGCTCACTAAGCCCGCGTTCGATTCCCTGTCACGATTTCGAAAATCACCATTTCGAAAATCACCATTTCGAAAAATCACCATTTCGAAAATCACCATTTCGAAAATCACCATTTCGAAAAGACACCATTTCGAAAAGACACCATTTCGAAAGTCACCATTTCGAAAAGTCACGATTTCGAAAAACACCATTTCGAAAAACACCATTTCGAAAAAATCCCCAGTTCGAAAAGACCCGTTCTTCAAACAGGCATAAAAATGCAGTGTCGAAAAACCACGGTTTTTCTCGGATATGACTAGTGATGTAATAGAAATTGTTTCAGTGGTGTCTATGATGAAATTAATCATATCTCCAGTGGAAAAATAGACCCCCGAACCTCAAACCAGCCAACGAAAATCATTTTTTTCTGCGACTGGGAAATGGGATATTGCTCAATCCTGTGTTTCCCAAATGGTAATTTTCGAAATGGTGATTTTCGAAATGGTGTCTTTTCGAAATGGTGTCTTTTCGAAATGGTGATTTTCGAAATGGTGACTTTTCGAAATGGTGATTTTCGAAATGGTGTCTTTTCGAAATGGTGATTTTCGAAATGGTGATTTTCGAAATCGTGATTTTTCGAAATGGTGATTTTCGAAATGGTGATTTTCGAAATCGTGACCGCCAACCCCCGCGTTCAGATGCCCCTTCTGGGAGCAGGAGCCTAAGCCTCTGCTGAGGTTTTATATTTCCGAATCGATTCCAGAAAGAATTTTCGGAAAACAAGATTTTTCAGCCGTCTTATTTTCAGGGATTCCTGCTAGGGAATTTGGCATTATTTTAATTTTTGGTTTCGAGACATTTTGGTCTTCGAATCCTAGGAAGCGTGAATAAGAGGAAAGAGAGAGAGAGAGAGAGAGAGAGAGAGAGATAGAGAAAAGCCTTCCGCTATTTTCAGCCTCATTCCCGAGCATAGTGCATTATTTTTAGTACCCCACTTCCACATCTGGGGCCCCATTCCGAATCAGTTAACTTTTTTCGCGCTTTCCGCCGGCTTTTGAAAGTGGATTCCCAGGGGCACGTCGGCTCTAGACAAGTGGGGAAGTCGGAAAAAAGCACAAAAAGATACTATGCCCTCCCTCCTTCCAGAACGCTCCTTTTTACGCCTCTTCCTTTGCCTCTTTCGTCGAGGTTGTGCGTTTTTTGGGGTTGTTTTCGGGTCGCCTGCGTCTCCCCACCGACCGCTTCCACTCCTTTTTGGTCCTCTTTCCGGTTTCTTTCCGTCTCTCTCTCTCTCTCTCTCTCTCTCGCTCTCTCTCGCCCCTTTCGACCCCAGCAACGCAGCCCGCAGGATCGCCCCGAAAATATTGTTTACGTGCCGCCGGCCCCCAGCCTCACAGCCCGGCCACGCAGAAAAAATGGACTACCTGATCCGCCGAGTCGGATTTTATTTACTGACCAGGGCTTGGCCTAGATTTGAGTGGTATTTAAGGTGATTTCAAGGGCTTTATCCATTTTTCTTCCAAGTATCTTCAAAAAAACCCGCTTATTCAACGCCCTAGCTTTATTAAAGTAAGCTTGCAGCTGGACTAGAAAAAACTTTATGTCGGCTTCGCAGCAACCAGCTTTTTATAGGTTTATCAGGGTTGAAATTTATTTTTCAATATTCTTCGTTACTAGCATCCAGGGACGTAGCGTAATACAGGCCCCGGGGGCCCGGGCCCCCCGAAATCGGCCGGGGCCCGAAAATTTCATAAGGGGGGACCCTTATGATTTTTATTTTCTCAAAAATTTTGCTGCCTGCGGCGCTATTTTTTCACGTTTTTACGGCTATTTGTAGAGCTATGTAACCTGTTTTTCAAAAATTTTTGCCTGCGGCGCTGTTTTTTCGGCAATGTTTTGAGTTTTTTTGGAAAAATTTTTTCGGGGCCCCCCCGAAATTTTTTTCTGGCTACGCCCCTGCTAGCATCCATCAATTTATTTATTTTTTTTTTCTGACAATATAGCTACTTTTGTACTTCGTAACCGTTTACATATGACGCAAAATACTTTTGACGCTAAAAAAACCCCACGAAATTCCAACATTTTTAGTTTCTCAAAGCCGAAAGGCTCGTTGCTCGCCCACAAACCACAAACAAACAGCCCAAGCCACATGTTAGACGTCCTAAAGTCTGCCGAAAGTTGTGCTTTCAAAAAGTTATGTTTTTCTCTAGAAATATCTTTAAGAAAGTCATATGTTCCAGAAACCTGACTTTTGAATCGTTGTCTGACTTACCTTAACGGAATTTTGGAGTAGGATTTGCTGAGATTTGCTTCTCATTTCTCCGTCTTTTTTGCTTTCAAAATTTCAAAATTTGATCTTGGAAAGGCAAGGCGGCAAACCCCTTTAATGTCTCGCCCTTCGATACTTTAGTGTTTCGCTGAAATCGACCCCTTTTTACACAAAGCTCTTATCAGCCATTTCGGAGAAAGGACAGATGCGTATATTGTTGCCATATTCCCATAGCCCCGGCCGGCAAGACGCCATCTGCTTTTCCAGAACATTCTCGCTCTTTTTTAGAGGCAGCAGCCACATCATTCTCTTTTTTTGCAACAATGCGCTTGCCCCTCCCCAGTTTTTTTAAAACCTTTAGACGCTCCTCTAAAACAGCATTTTCTGCCCGTTTTCTTGTGGCAAATCTCTTTTAATTCTTTCTGAGTCGATCGTCGACAGTTTTTACCGATTTCCAAAACATAAATTTTTTTAAAGATCTTTTTACTCCTTTTCTAACTTGAGGCCCAGTTTCTCGTCAGTTACCCTTTAAAAAACTCACGCCTAAACTTTTCTACCTTGACTGGACCTATTTCTGAATTCACAAGCCATTTAAAGCGTTTTAGAATGTAATTTTACGTTTCTGTTTTCTAAAATGTGCTTTTCATGCTTATTGTAGTTATTTCACATTTCAGGTATCAGGCACAAATTACAACAACCAAAATGGTCCACCAGCAATTCCCGAAGTCTGTTCTCGTCACCGGAGCCAACCGCGGAATCGGATTCGGTCTTGTCCAACAGTTTTTGAAGCACAAGGAGGTTGAACACGTCTTCGCCGGTACCAGGAATCCGGATAATGCAAAGGTATGCGAGGCTGACCTTACTCCCTATCTTACTAGGTTTCGTCTGTTTCTGCTATGTACATCGTAGATCAGTTTCTTTAAAGTGATCTTGTCATAAAAACCTAGTTACTTCAATTCACCCTTTTGAACATGTCTTGAATTTAGAATCCCTTTTAGGAACTGAACGAGATCACCGACGCTCGGTTGACCGTCGTTAAGCTTGACATCAACTGCGACAAGTCGATCGAGGCAGCTGTTCAGGAGGTAGTTTCTGGATTAACTACAAGAATATGATCAGTTTTAGGTCAGCAAAGTCGTTGGTGAAGAGGGCCTTCATTGTCTGGTCAACAACGCCGGCGTCCTCATCCCCTACAAGTTCAGCGACGCGCCGAACAGGCAAAAGGTATGCGAAAGCTCTAGCACGCTCTTACCCGCTCCCTCTCTCTCTCTCTCTCTCTCTCTCTCTCTCTCTCTCTCTCTCTCTCTATCTCTCTCTGTCTCTCTCTCCTCTCTATCACTATCTCCCTCTCCTTACCTCTTTCCCTCTCTCGCTTTCTCCCGTCCTTCTATCGTTTTTTTTTTCAGCTCGAAGACCAGCTCCTCCCCAACGTCGTTTCCCAAATCATGGTTACGCATGTAAGTTATTTTTCTTTTAAAGGCGGTGGGACACTAAAAATTCTCGCATACCAATTATCGTGATGAAAGGTATTGGTAATAAGAATATTTTTAGAACTTCTTGCCTCTCATCCGGAAAGCGGCCTACCAGGGCAGCTGGGGAGTTGCGCACGCAGGTAAGGCAGAGAGAGAGAGAGAGAGAGAGAGAGAGAGAGAGAGAGAGCGAGAGAGCGAGAAAGATATAGCGAGAAACAGAGTGAGAGAGAGTGAGAGATGGGGGCGTGAGAAAGATAAAGAGAGGAATCAACTATAATAAAAAGGTAGGGGTGTCTGTCCGTCCGTCTGAAGCCGAATTCAACTCGAAGGGGAAAGGAGCTAGAGCTTAGCTCTCTTCGGATTCGGATAGAGCGTGGTCAGAAACCCCCAAACTGATAAAAAAATTACGAAAAAGTTTTTGTTTAAATTATTAAAATTAACTTTGAAAGTGGCGCCTTAATGAAACGAGTGGGGGCCCCTCTCCCCGGGAGGCCACGCCCCCTTTCTCTTCGCCCCTCTTCCCCAGGCCCCTTCGCGCGCCCAGATGCCTTTTTGAGTTACTTTAATACTTTTAATACTTTTTAATTATGTTAATTAATTATTTAAATTATTTAAAGTATCTAAAGCCATCAGGAAGGTATTTAGGTAGTTTTTGAAGGGGATTTCAGCCATGGGGGGTATCTGAAGCCATCAGGGAGGTATCTAAGTAGTTTTTGAAGGGGATTTCAGCCATGGGGGATATCTGAAGCCATCAGGGAGGTATCTAAGTAGTTTTTGAAGGGGATTTCAGCCATGGGGGGTATCTGAAGCCATCAGGGAGGTATCTAAGTAGTTTTTGAAGGGGATTTCAGCCATGGGGGGTATCTGAAGCCATCAGGAAGGTATTTAGGTAGTTTTTGAAGGGGATTTCAGCCATGGGGGGTATCTGAAGCCATCAGGAAGGTATTTAGGTAGTTTTTGAAGGGGATTTCAGCCATGGGGGGTATCTGAAGCCATCAGGGAGGTATCTAAGTAGTTTTTGAAGGGGATTTCAGCCATGGGGGATATCTGAAGCCATCAGGGAGGTATTTTGGTAGATTTTTAACGGAATTTCGACCCGGAGGGGTATCTGAAGCCATCGGGAAGGTAGCTATGTTTTTGTGGGGGGTTGGCTAGAGGAGGTATCTGAAGCCATCAGTGTAGTTATTGCCATGAAGGCATCAGCGTAAGGTAGGGATTAAATGTGGTGGTGTAGAATATGGAGGGTGGCCCGAAGTCCAGCCGATTGCAGTCGCGAAGCGGCTGTAATCGGCTGGTACATCTAGAATTTAATGGTCTTCAGCGATCCTGAACATCTCCTCCGACTTCGGCTCAATTACCTCTGCTGGAATCAAGGGCTCCGGAGAGAAGGGCTTCATCCCCTACAAGTGCAGCAAGGTGAGACCTAAATCGATTGGGGTAGATCTAGCGTCGTCAACAAATGTCGGAAAACATACCAAAAATGTGAAATTTTCAAGGCCGCCGTCAACCAGTTCACGCACACTCTTTCCGAAGACCTGGATGCTGATGGCATTTTGGTTGCTGCTTTCCACCCCGGATGGGTTCAGACCGATATGGGAGGACAGGAAGCCCCTACCGACGTAAGCTTAAAAACGCAAATTTTCCGCTCTCTCCCTCTCTTACTCACTCACTCACACTCTCGACTCTCTCACTCTCTTTCTCTCTCCCTCTCCCATATCGCTCGCTCTCTTCCCCCACTCCTCTCTATCTCTCTCCCGCTCTTTCTTTGCTTCTAATGTTGTGTCTGTCAGCCCCTATTTCAGGAAATCCCCTCGGAGCCATTGTACAAACAGGTATGCAACGGCGTTACGCCCTGCAAAACAAAAAAAAATATATTTGGAGTCTCAACCCAATTTTCTCTGGCTTTCGTGATATAGTGGGCCCTGGATGACGTTATTTTAGACTGCAGCATTTTCACGAATTTATGCTAATTTCAGATCGAGGAGTCGGCTAACAACTTGGTGACGTCGTTCTCGCACCTGGAGCACAAGCACCAGGGCGGATACTTTGACAACAAGGGAGAGGTTATTCCTTGGTAAATGATCTAGCTGCTATCCCCCAGTCTCTCTCCTTCTTTCTCTCTCTCTCTCTCTCTCTCTCTCTCTCTCTCTCTCTCTCTCTCTCTCTCTCTCCCTCTCTCTCTCTCTTTCCTTTTCGCTCTCTTTTTCTCTCTCTTTCTCTTTCTCTCTCTTTCTCTCTCTTTCTCTCTCTCTCTCTCTCTCTCTCTCTCTCTCTCTCTTTCATATTTTTTCATCGTGTTTTTTCGTGTTAGCCTTGTAATTTGAATTTTTCCACTATCCAAATTACCGTATCTCATCTATCTACCTGCCATTACTTAAATTAAGTTAAATTTATGTATCGCTATTATCATTCTAATTATGTACTGTTGCAATAAATTTTCTTCACTTTCGAATTTTTTTTTGACAAGACGACGGTCGAGGACCAGGCATACTGTGGAATCCTTTTTTAATACTGTAACGTTTGTCAAAGCATATTTTCAAATCCATTCAAATTTTTGAAACTAATAGACAATGCAGCGCTAAATTCTAGGATCTAAAATGCATCAACAGTACCCCAGATCGGTGTTGATCACCGGGGCCAACCGAGGGCTCGGCCTCACGCTCGTCAAGGAGTTCATGAAGCACAAGGAGGTGAGTAAGAGGATTTTGATCCTGGTTGACTGGTTTAAAGGGGTGGTGACCGCAAGGTTCTCGTAGAAAATCATCCGTAACGATTGGTACTATATTTAAAGAGGCCAGGAAGCGCAAGTATCGCGCTTCTACAATCCGTTTATGTCTATTATTAGGTGCTACACATCTTTGCCGGCGTCCGAAACCCAGATAAAGCCGACGAGTTGAACGCGATCAGCGACGCTAGGGTGGTTGTGGTCAAACTTGATGTCGAATGTGACAAGACGATTGCTTCGGCTGTTGAGGAGGTAGATTATGGGCCAGAAATCCGATGAAGCGGATCATCTCCAGGTCTCAAAAGTGGTCGGCGAGTACGGGCTCAACTGTCTGATCAATAACGCCGGCGTCTGGGTGGAGTACAACTTTTCGGATAAGCCGGATAGGAAGAAGGTACGTTGAGAGTGTCGTTAATGCGCTAGATGGCTTAGGCTTTGGCTTGGTAACCTTCGGCCTGTTAGAATTGACTAAAGCTGACCTGCTCGAACTCGTCATTTTCAGCTAGAGCAACAGCTGAACCCAAACACGACCTCCCCGATTATGGTGACACATGTAAGATTTTTGGCCTGTATACTCTATTGTTTAGTACTTCCTGCCACTCATCCGGAAGGCTGCATTTTCCGGAAGCTGGGGCTTGAGCCACGCGGCCATCATCAATATGTCCTCCGACTTCGGGTCGATCAGCAAGCCCGATTTTCCGGGGAGCTGGGGAGGGTGGTTGCCGTATAAAGTTAGCAAGGTGAGATAGAGAGAGAAAGAGAGAGAGAGCGAGAGAGAGTCCGAGAGATGCAAGGGAGCGAGAGAGCGAAAAAAAGAGAGTGAGCACCTACTGAAAATCGCTATTTTAGGCAGCCCTAAACCAGTTCACGCACACCCTTGCTGAAGACCTGGATTCTGAGGGGATTCTCGTAGTCGCGTTCAACCCCGGCTGGTGCCAGACGGATATGGGAGGAAAAGATGCACCCCTGGAGGTACGCTTGGCTTTTGTTAGCTAAGCCGGTCGAAAGCCGATCGAGATACCTAAATTAACCTAAATCGATTTTTCTAAAAATTCGGTTAATTTTGAATTTCGTTCTTTAAGGCTATATGAAGTAATGCCAGGAATGAACACACTAAGGAACGAGTGTTTGGCGAGGTATATGCGAAATTTTTGCCTTCCCGTTTCATTTAAACTCACCATCATACTGTCGCGTTTGAAATGCTTCGAGTTTCCAGGCAAGTGACGCGATCGGTCAACTCGTCGAGGCCTGCTCAAAGTTGGAGCAAAAGCACAATGGTGGCTTCTATAATTACGATGGGGAAGTGTTTCCCTGGTAGAAATCTTGTTGTAGATGTTTAATTTATACCCGTGGCCGCTTACAGTTTGTCTACCTTTACAATATTCCATCACCGCCATTTCATTCCATAATATACCCACGATCTGTCATTTCTAATTTGCATTTGCCCTGTTTTTTATGCTTTTTGGACGGTAATTCATAATTCTGATGCAATAAAGTACGAAAGGATATTTTGTTCATATTTGCGCTTGCTTTTGACACAACGGAAAAGATTATCATGCCGTAATCAGTTCACCGTTACGGTAGATGCCGAATACCTGAAAAATTGGTAACAGGCTGGAAAGGAGGGAGTGATCCAGAGAGCGAGCCCGAGAGACAGATGGAGGTAACGAGAGAGAGAGAGAGAGAGAGAGAGAGAGAAAGTTAGAGAGATAGATATAGCGAGAGGAAGAGAGAGAAATAGATATAGAGAGAGATCCGCTGAGCGTAAACTGCACTACTACTTACCTCAACGTCCCGATCGATCAAAATTTTGTCCAAATCCCTGGTAGCGTCTCGATGATCAAAAACCGCGATCTTCTTCCCGTTAATGTAGATACCCAGGCCCTCTTGAAAGTTCTGGATGGTCAAATCGAATCTAAAAACCGGTGTCGTTAAGAAAAAAACCTAAATTTACATTTTCCAATTTGGGAAAGGTATATCGCGGCTTATCTCCTTTTCCCAGATACCGTCTTGGAAGCTATTCATTACGAATCGATTTTCAGAGTAGCGAATCGAGATCTGAAACCGGAATCTTGCTATAATAATTTGGAAAGAGAAAAAAAGATCGCATAACCTACCGTAAACCCAAAAGTTCCATCGGGCTTAAGGAGCGAGATATCGATTCGGTTACCTAAACGATAGTTAGAACAGTTGGAAGAGGAGATGGACAACATTGGAAAATGGGTAGAAAAAAGTTTTCTTACTCTGCGGGACATTAGCCTGCTGCTGAACTCGGGTAGGAGACGACCTATATCGCGAACGATATCCATAGGAATGGCACGAGTAGCAGCTGTGGTAACCACAGTCGTAGCAGCTCGACGAGTAGTAGGTATTTCCGTTGTAGCGATAGCTAAAATTAGAAGAAAAATTATGATCTATCATTTTATAGTAATCCACGGTAGTTTTTCCTAACAACAAACTCATGGCTTTATGAGCATCAGAAAAGAAAGATACAGAGGGAGAGAGAGAGAGAGAGAGAGAGAGAGAGAGAGAGAGAAACAGAGAGAGCAGAGACGTCGCTTCGACGTTTCAAGACTTACCTGTAGCTAGGCACATACGAATCCGCCAGATAGCCCGCTGTATAGCCTCCAGCAAAGCCTGCGCCAGCACCACCGATGGTAGCTAAAATTGAGTAATTTTCGTATTTTTAAACTTTGGCAAGCTTTAACTAAAACAGGTGCAGGAAAATTCTAAAAACTCACCGCCATGCCCAGAAGCCCATCGCGCAGCTGAGTGACCTCGATCGTTAGCTAAATATGGAACTAGAAACCATAACATAGTCTTAAGGTTATCAGTATAAAAAACTCTGTAACTTACAGCCATGGAAATATATCGGTCCGGACGGCAAACTCGGGCTCGAAGGATGAGACCAGCCTCCAAAATGGCCGCTCGATGGGTTTGAGGTCTGAGGGTGATATCCGGAAGACCAAGAGGAGCCGGACGATCCGGAAGAGTGCCAGCTGCTACCGCTGCTACCTCCAAAATGGCCGTTTTTCCGGTTATGAGTTCGGGATGATAACCGGTAAGGGATCCGGTCTCTTCGAAACGTCCGTTTTTACGATTCGACGCCTGGGGATGGTATCCGGATAATTCGGAATTTCCATTTTTGTGAGCATGGGTTTTCAAATCCGCTCCGGAAAAACACGGAATTGTTTCCGGAATCACCGAAATTTCTATTTTTAGGATTTGACGGGTGGGATGGTATCCTGAACTTCGGGAACTCTAGTTCTTACGTATCGGTAAGCCGGAATTCCCACCGAAATGTCCATGCGTCGGGTTGGAAGTCTGGGGATGATACCCGGAAGAGCCGGAACCAAACCCGTGCCAGCTGGAGTGCGATCCGGAAGACCCGGACGTGTGGGAGCCTTCAGAAGAGTGGCCCGAGAAGCTGGAGTGGGTTCTGAAAAACGAGAGATGAGTAGAGTGAGCGAGAGAGAGAGAGCGAGAAAGAGAAAGAGATAGAGAGAGAGAGAGAGAGAGAGAGAGAGAGATAGATAGATAGATAATTGGTTTTGAGAAAGACCTACCGACTCCCTCGGCTCGTCTTCCTCTTCGTCCTGTTTTTTTCCTGTTCCAGCAATACTTCTCCCAATTTGATCATCTTCTCAGCAGCGGCCGTCGCGTTAGAACCAAGATCAGCAACAGCACCTAAGATCCAATTTAGGTTTCTGGTCGCCATTTTTCCGTACTCTTTGCCATGGCCTGGAACGACTCATCGATGTGGAAAAGGTCAGCGGGCTTGGTGGTGGTGCCATTTGTTGTAGTTTGTAGCGGACTAGCGGTCGTGGAATTCGTTGAAGTGGTGATATTTGTAGAGACTTGCTTGACATCATCACCAAGGAGTTTTTTGTAGCTTGAGAGGTCTTTTACTAAAAAGAGAATTGTTGGAGTAGGATTGTAAGGTATTATAGATTCTTCGAAGTTGGCTCAATTTCTTAAACCTAAGTTAGTAAAAGCTACTGAAAACTGCCTGTTAGCTCGTTAAATCGATTACGTCATGAAATTGGCAATTTTGAAGGCTTATAATTAATGCGATAATTATTTGAAATTCAAAAGCGATTTATTGAAGCCAAAACCGACCAATGGCTATCGGTTGGGCCACCACATCAATCCTATCGCCAACGTTGAAGGCTGCAGGTAGTCGAGCAGGCATGAGATACATCGCTCCGGTTAGACTAACACGATTAGTTAATGGTTGTTTAGATGGGACTTACGTAAAGACTTGAATTTCAGAGAAATTTCCGGATACGGTAATGGCGGTCACCTAAAACCCGTACGTCGTCCATTAATTCTCGACTTACCGTACTCATCGTATCCGGTTTGTCAAAAATCCCGATTTCTCCGCGGTTTGCAAAGACCTAAAATAGATTTCATTTATCGTTTTCTAATAATATAACTTCGATAAATTGCCAAATAACAGAATTCCGTTTTTTAAGCTTGTATCTCCAATTTTATTATACATAATAATAAAGGTCTTGTTAATCAACCAAATCCGAATTTTACCTGAATATGACTCGGCAAGTTCCGCACCCGAAAATCAAATCGAGTACCAGCCTAAATTTCGTAAATTTAAGAAAACCCATTTTTCTTAATTTACCCCAATCCCATTCGTTGCTCTATCCCTCAACACAGTACCATTCGAGAATCGGGATTCAAACGTGAATTTTGGGGAAACTAAAATTTTCATCACTCTTTAAGGTGGATTCTTCAAACTTGGTTGATTGGTCTCGGAGGTAGACGTTGAACAAATTGATACTGGATTTAGCGAAGCGTTTGAGCCTTGGAAATTGACGCAGAAACTGCAAAAAAATAACATTTATGATTTTTGAAGAAATAATTTATTTTTCCTTATCCAGAAATCAAATCGAAAACTCACTCGACATGATTATAGTTCAAAACACCTCGTAGATGCACGAATTGGCCATTAATTAGAGGCTTATCGACGCTAATTTTCGGAAAGGCATCTCCGGGCTTGTAGGTCTAAAATGAATTATTTTAATCGTAATTCATTCGTTTTTAAAGTTGCTTAAGTCATGTACCAAATTTTTATAACCCAATATCGCTACACTCTCCGGGGCGCTCGACTTTGAGCCGCTAAAGAAGTTCCATATAGCATTCGTGATGAATCCGGCAGAGGCTTCTGAAAAATTCGATGGTGCATGTGCATGATTTGCATGGCAAAAGATACAAACCTGGGCATACTACAGCTAGAACAGATATTAACAAAGTTATCCGGTGCATCAAAAATTTTCTCCAATCAGCAAATAAGCTCTAGTGCAGTAGCGGTCCGAAAGATCGGAGAATCGAACTGGCGAACGCGGCTCTGCTTTACCCACAAAAGTCGCACAAGGAAGTGATCGGCTACTGCTGCTGCTCCTTTTCGACGATTCGAGAGAAAATTGGATCTTCTCTTATAAGGCAAACTATGGCACGGCCTTGCCTTTTAACTGATGATCGCAGCGATCTCAAAACAACTTGATCCCTGCAATTACAAGAAATAGTTAGGTGCTCGGCATGCGTCATTTTCGTTGACTCATCTACCACGAATAGCTAATTTTGTCCACTTTGTCTATATGCGTCTCCATTCGCCCAAGGTTATTAGCGGCGTCCGGTCACTACCCCGAAAAGTCACTACCCCGAAAGTCACTACCCCGAAAAGTCACTACCCCGAAAAGTCACTACCCCGAAAGTCACTACCCCGAAAAGTCACTACCCCGAAAAGTCACTACCCCGAAAGTCACTACCCCGAAAAGTCACTACCCCGAAAAGTCACTACCCCGAAATCGTTTACCCCGAAAGTGATAGCATTGTTTTTCCCGGAAAAATCCAGTTTTCATGCGGTTTTCCTATGCAAATCATGCAAATTATTTCGGGGTAGAGACTTTTCGGGGTATTGACTTTTCGGAGTATTCGGGGTAGTGACTTTTCGGGGTAGTGACTTTTCGGGGGTAGTGACTTTCGGGGTAGTGACTGTACCCCGTTATTAGCGTCTCCATTCGCCGAAATGCCACCTAAACACAGAGTGTCCCAAAAATCTATCTTCCTCTAGCCGTCCGGAGAAAGGTTGGATCGGTATAATTTTTACACTATTCGAAAGCCCACGGAAAGCTGAGAAAACAAGCGCTTTTCGTTGTACCAAATCTTTTTAGCCCGCGCCCGTTATCAAACGAATTCTTAAAAGAAACGCAAAATCAGCGTCGTCCTGTTAGCTTCAGCTTCATCTTTCAAAAATCTGCAGTTTCATGGATTTTTGTCCTAAAATTCATGAATTGAAATTTTCATAATGAAAAACAAAACGCGTCTGGTTTCTCGCCGTTTCGAGTGCTTTCGACCTAAACCTAAATCGCCACAATCGGACAGTTATGCGGCATGCTGCAATTGGTCGATTTTTTGGGACGCCAGATAGGTAAAATGATATCCAGGATCGATACTCCAATGGCAAATTGCAAGGATGAAAAAAACGGCATATGAAGAATGAACTGGATTTTGTTTCGCCTCGATTTTATTCCATCGACGGGTCCCTTGGTTTTATGGATTAAATTTTCAACAAGAAAAAATTAGCTTCCAAATTTTTTGGGGATTTTAAATCCGGTGAGATCGCTTTCTGCCAATTTTTCCGGGCCATCCTGGTCCCTGAAGATTTTTCTAAATCGATAATTCCCACCGTAACGCTGCTGTTTTGATGATTCAACCCAACCTTTCCCAAGTCTAGCCAGTTATTTTGCTCGAACGCCCAAGCCTACTATTTTTATTATGATTTGACCGGGAAGAGTGCATAAATAATATGGTCGACGGGTGACGACAATGGCCCAACCCGGTGGGGTCAGACCCGAAAAAGCGAAATTGGGCGCCGAACTTGGGCAAATATTGGGCGGTAATGAAAACAAAATGGACGTTCGTTGGCTATAAAAGCAGTGCAGGTCGGGTCGAAAAGTATCGAGCTCATCCGGCTTCGCTTATTCGGCTTCGCTTCGTCGGCTTATTTTAAAAAACCAAAAAATGGTAAGGGATCTTTTGGCATCAATTTAAGCTCTTTAGAAATTCCTGCTCGTCTCCTCGGTGCTGCTGGCTGCGGCTTATGCTAGTAAGTTTCTTTAAAGATATCTCCACATCTCTCTCCCTCCCTCCCTCTCTCTCTCTCTCTCTCTCTCTCTCTGGCTCTTTCCCTTTATCTGTATCTCTCTCTGTCGCTCTCTCTCTGTCTCTCTCTCTCTCTATCTCTCTCTATCTCTCGCTAACGAATTATAGATATACGTTTTCAGCGGTGCCCACGCGCATCACCCGCCCAACGGTCCATATCACCACTCCTCGCGTTACCGTACCCGGCAACATGACTCGTCCTTCGGTCACCATGCCCTCAATCTCTACCCCAAAAGTTACCCGTCCTACCGTAACCCGTCCCTCGGTCACTGTCCCCCACGTTACTCGCCCCTCCATCCGTCCAGTCACCAAAATCACTCGCCCTACCGTCAAACATATCACTCGCCCTACCGTCAAACATATCACCCGCCCTACCGTACCCCATGTCACTCGTCCGAAGGTGACAAAGCCGCATGTTGGTGGAGTGACCCGTCCTCGTGTCTCTACCCCAAAACACATCCGCCCTACCGTAACCGTGCCCCATGTTACCCGCCCGAAAGTGACTACTCCTCGTGTCCCTATTACGCGCCCGACGGTTCGTGTCTAATTCTTCAGCTGACTACCCTTCTCTTTTTAATTCTGAATCCTTAATTCAGCTTATTCTTGCCATGTCTGTACAATACGTGTGTTGAGTCTTGAAAGGCAATGAATAAAGCGCGCATTAAAACATTTGAGGATTGTATCTCGGGTTTTATTGCAGAAAAAAGGTTAAAAGAAGTGATTGAATCGAACTGTAATTTGTTGTGCTGTGTACATTCCGGAGCGTCTAGTAGCGGTCCATTTTGCGATCAGCCTCGCGGGCCTTGTCGTGCGCCCAGTCCTTCAGGTCTTCCTTCTGAAAATCGGAAGAGATGAATCTGGAAGCCTTTCCTCTAGCTAGATCTCTACCTCTTTCCATCTCTCGCACCCTCGCGCCCTCGTTAACTCTCTCTCTCTCCCTCAGACTCTCTCCCTCTCTCTGCCTCTCTACCTTGTCGTAAGCCTTATCCTTTGTCTCTTCCCAGGCGCTGCGGGCCGAATCCTTGGCTCGTTCTTCGTGCCCCATTCCGGTCAGGTCGGCCATTTTGTCCTTCACCTGGAAAATGAGCATGATAGCACATTAATAGGGAGCATTGGGCTAACTAGAAGCTCAGTATCAGCCTAGAATATTTCGAAAACTCCCACCGCCTCAGCAGCGTTGCTGACGGCATCCTTGGTCTTCTCGATGATTCCGGGCATATTGATTGCGTTGGTTGTGGTTGTAGTAAGCTAGAAAAAAAAACTGTGACTTCCCTCGACATCCAGATTCTTTTATAGGCAGCTTGTTTTGATGTTTTTCTTCACCAGAAGGTCGCCAGCGCTGGATATTCCTATCAACAGTCCTCCTCTCGGCTGTCCTTAATGTATTCCACCCCACGGCTACCTTGAAAGAGCATGTTGAATCCGCAAAAACACTTTGCCGGATCAACAACGATCTACCGGAGATCATCGCGTCGCTACAAAAATATTTTCGGCGGTTCTTTTCTAAAAAGCTTCTGTGCTGAATTGATGAAGCCGCCTGACCGCAGGCAGAACGAACTGCGAAAAACAGTGCACTTTTGCTTCCGTTATGCACCAAATTCCGCTCGACAATTTATTCATCCCCACATCGCAATCACATCACAAACACAGCTGCACATTTCTACTTCTTAGCATCCTATTTAGCATAGACACGGAATTTGCGGGATGGATGGCGGGGGGGGGGCAATTTATGGTATACAATAGTCGAGTTTCTAGGCTTTGTGCTTGGTTTTGCTGGCTTCCTGCTTCTTCGACGGCATGAAGGGCCGCTTCTCGTCGTCGCTGTCTAAACCTGGAATTCTCGTAAATTTTTCAAAACCAATACCTTTCTGAAGCTTGGACGTCGTGCTGGAGTCGCGCCTGTCGGCCGTTCTCGTCTTATCGTTGCGCTTCAGGACGGCGCGGGCGACTAAAGGGAATGGAAAGTGAAGAAAATTGGCTTTTTCAAAGAATCACTTCCAGCCTACCCAAAAAATTCGCTAAAAAACCGTTAATAAACAACAATTTCCATAAGAATCGCTGCTAGTCGCCCCAAAAACCGCAAGGCACCCACCCAAAGCCACCAAACCGATCAGCACCACCGCCCCGATAATCGAGCAGGCGACGATTATGATGATGGTCCCGCGACGCATCTTCCGGTCTAAAAATCTCTCTCTCTCTCTCTCTCTCGCTCTTTCTCCTGATCTCCCTTACATTCACAACTCCCATCCGGCTTCACAGCTTGAATGTCGTCAATGTGGTGGCACTCCTCGCTGCACGGAATCTTGCCCTTTTCCGGGCATTCTGGAACCAAGTTCTCAAGGTATACGTCTATTCCTTACGTCCAAATCTGCAGATTGTCTTGTTGTCGTCGTCGAGTCTAATCGATGTCAAACGTTCGAAGGGGAAGCATGCGTAGTCATCGCCCGCCCAGCAGGCTACCGTGTTGTTCAGCCCGGCGCAATCTTTCGCTGGTTTTAGATCTGAATTATCAGATAAAGCGAGAGAGAGCGAGAGAGAGAGAGAGAGAGGCGCGTGCGGAAGCCACCCCAACCTGGAATCTTATTTGGATCCATCAGGTTGCATCGTCCACCCTCGCCAACCGACTGGATATGCGAATACGGCATGCAAATCTTCTTGTCGCCTCTCTCGGGGATGTTGCAGGGATGGTGGCCATGAGGGCAGCCTGGAAACCGCAAACCAGCTTGACGGAGAAGCCACAAAAACCGGTTTCCGCGTCTCATCAATGTCAGATAGCGCTTGATCTCCCCACCGTCAATGCTGCACTCCCTCGTACGGTCGTTGTACTCCTGCAGCGGGGCGTTTCGCGACGTCGGGCTGACCACCTCGACGCAGATCGGCTCGTACACGCCGCAGTTCATCTGCCCGAGCGGGCATACTGAAGACGTTAGTCTAGTCTTTAGGTGCAGCCTAGGGGCTTAAGTTAGGATTCAATTTTTGAACAAGCTTGGCTTAACCCGAGATCTAGGCTTTATCATCGGGTTAAAACCTAGGCTTATGCATAGTAGTAGCTTAGGCTGGGGCTTAGGCTTAAGCTTAGAACTGCGCTTAGGTTTAGGTTAGGCCTAGGTTTAGGCTTAAACTCACAAGGAGATGGTCTCAGCTCGACACCGAATTTCGTTTTGAAAATTTGCACACTGATAGAGCTTGACGAGACGAATCGATTGGTGTAATGTAATCGACGTAAAATGCTTATAACTCGGCTATTTTATAGTATGGGTAGCTGAAAGTTACACCAATCGATTCGTCTCGTCAAGCTCTATCAGTGTGCAAATTTTCAAAACGAAATTCGGTGTCGGGTACAATTCAAATAGGCGGGGGGGAAAGATTTAGGCGGGGGAAACCGAACTTTTTTCCGCCCAAGCCTATTTTTTTATATAAATAGTGGAAGTGTTTCTAGATTGTTTATAGCTATTCCTAAACATAAAACTTTACAAAACTTAATTAAAAAATTTAATTTTAGGCCGAAAAATCAATTTTTTCGGCCCAAAAATGACTAAAATTTCGACTTTTTCAAGCGTTTTTCTAACTTTTTAAAAAGTTTTTCCGATTCAGATAGGCTTAAATTTTGCTAAAAACAATGTGAAAACACTTTATATTTGATTACTATCCCCAGCAGAGCCGACAAAAAAAAGTTGGTTTCCCCCCTCCGCCTAAATCTTTCCCCCCCGCCTATTTGAATTGTACCCGGTGTCGCGCTGAGACCATCTCCTTGTCAGACTAGCTTTAGATGGGGCTGAAGTTTAGGCTTCGGCTTAGCCCGTCTCTTGAACACAATCCGCGTTTTGGGCCCAACTTATTTTTAGCTTAAGATTAGGCTTATGCTCACTTGTAGCCAACGATGACATCTCGCAAACGTCGTCCGCCTTGATTGCCGTGATGTAGGAGAAGTAGGTGCAAGCCTTTAGCCCATCCGGTAGAGTGCAGAGGAAGCTGGAGGGCTTTTCGGGGCAATCTAAAAAAGCTTGCTGAAATCAATGAAGCCATACCAGGAAGGATGCAGAGCTGCGAGTCGAGGTCGTAGTCGAGGAGCTCGGTGCTGTCCAGGCAGATTGTCGTGTTGATGCCGCAGTTGACTTGATAGTCCGATTGGCAGACTTAAATTGTGGTTGCAGAAGACTACAGAAGTGCGCACCGTTAAATCTCCAGGTGGCGGGCAAATTGGTACCGTCAGCGAGCAGGTCTATCGGGACGCAGGCCACCTTACTACCGATTTTGAGGGGCACACTGTTCTCCGGGCAGTCTGAAAGAGGCAGTTGTGAGAGAAAGAGAGAGAGAGAGAGAGAGAGAGAGAGAGAGAGAGAGAGAGTGAGAGAGAGAGGAGAAAGAGCGAGAGAAAAAGCGAGAGAAAGAGAGATAGATAGGGAGCGATAGAGAGCAAGAGAGATCTAGTGGTTCTACCCTGATGACGGCACTCCTTTTGCCACGGGTTGTCCCAGTCGACGCAGAAGTGCTTTCCGCCCTTCGACGTGCAGGGTACGAGTCCGTCGTCACAGGGCGACAATTGGGCTTGACCGACCGTGGATGTGGCGACGATCAGCACGAGCATGAGCTGGTACCACGGCATCTAAGAGCGAAATAAACATGATGAAAGAAAAGAGGAACCGACCTGTAAGCTGTCGTGCGTGAAAAATGATTTTTCGAATCGTGTTCACCAAATTCAAAATTAAAGTTGTATGCATATTGCTGAAGGTATCGTTTTTCTGTGTCGCGTCATTAGCTAAAAAAGCGGCTGTTTTCCGAAATATATTGTAGGTATTATATATACAAAAAAATATTTACCGTATTTTTTGCGAAATTCTAAATCCATTTTTGCAGAAGAATTTTGTCGAAGTTGAAAGCAAAGCTTACTCAATTCTGGATTATGAATTGGCTGTTTTTTTGACAATGTGCACGATGTTTGCAGGGCCAAAGATTTATTACAAGAAAAAAATCAAGCAGGTTTGGTTTTATGCTGTGTACATTCCGGAACGTCTAATAGCGGTCCATTTTGCGGTCGGCATCGCGGGCCTTGTCGTGTGCCCAGTCCTTCAGGTCCTCCTTCTGAAAATCAGATGTAATAGATCTGGAACGTTTCTCCATCACTCTCTCTCTCTCTCTCTCTCTCTCTCTTCATACCTTGTCGTAAGCCTTATCCTTTGTCTCCTCCCAGGCACTGCGGGCCGAGTCCTTGGCTCGTTCTTCATGCCCCATTCCGGTCAGGTCGGCCATTTTGTCCTTTACCTGAAAGACGTACATGTAATTTTGTAACGTCAGGTCTAAGAAGACCATTTTAGAGTCTGAACTCTGCAAAACTCACCGCTTCAGCAGCGTTGCTGACGGCATCCTTGGTCTTCTCGATGATTCCGGGCATATTGATTGCGTTGGTTGTGGTTGTGGTAAGCTAGAAAAATTCTGATTATAAAACGAGAGTCGACTTTCAAAATAAAGTAATTTTGAAGTCCAGGAAAGCAAAAACCGGTAAGGCAAGGATGCTGACAAAAGGGGGCCAGGAAGCTGGAACCGAGAAGCTAACAAGAGCTTGTAAGAGCTTTGAAGCCTAGATATTCAAAAGCGGATGTGCTGACTGTGACTTTCCTCGCTTGAGAACTTCTTATGTAGACAGCCTGTTTTTGTTGTTTCTTTCTCAAGGTCAGCAGCACTTCCTTAAAATATTCCGCCTCCAGCTATCCCGTGGTGGGAACATTTCAAATCCCCAAAAAACATCGATAAACAACGATCTATCGGCGATCATCGCTTCTCATAAAAACATATTTTCAACGGTGGTGCTATGAAAAACAAGGGCGTTGAATTGATGAAGCTGCCCCGGCCATGTCTCGAGAATATCGGAAGCTTTGTTCAAAATCTACAGAATTTCAGAATTTCAGCTCAAAATTTCAGAATTTGCCGGTAACCGAAAAATCCTACGTGTTCCACTATTCTTAACTAAAAATAAAGGCCTGACTAATTTTTTGTCTATTTAAAAGATAAGGAAAATATCGATTGTACCAGCAAAATTACCGATTTTCAAAGAATATTTCAAAATTTCCAAAAAAATTTTAAGTTATTTTTCCATGATATCTTGTTAAATTCACTACAACTAACTTAAGATAATATGAAAAATTGTAATATAACTCACGAAACCTCGGCGAAGTAACTTTTTAACCCTGTTAATGTGTTATTTTATAAAAAGGCTATTAAAATATTTTCTTTTGCTTGGCATTTCACAACCTATGCAAATCCGTCCCCCATCCCCGGAAAATCTAAAAACAACGTGGCTTTGCTTTTTCTTTTAGAAAGGCTACCAGGGTTGCAAAGCCGCTTCGCGACTTTTCAACCCTGGCCCCGTCTGATCCGATGATATTCAGCACTTTGTATATTTGTTCACGAATCCCCCATTCCGAAAAATGAAAAACATCCCCTTCGGTCCCTTTATATAGGCTTTCGTCACTTCCGGCGCATGCAGATTGTTTCCTAACAAAGAGGGAGACCCGGATTTTCATAAAAACTTAATTTTAATGTCGAAAATAGCACTTTTTGTAAAATCTGCTATGTGTGCAGTCGTGCCATGACCATTACGCACCTTTTAGCGTATCAAACATACCCTTAACTTCCTCCCCTATCGAGATACGACTGGAACATAATGACGGAAGTTGCATGCAAAGTAGCACACACACACAAACTCACAAACACTATTTTTTTTATATATAGTAGGATTTAGTGTGGTTGGCTACCCTCGATTTCATAAATTCCAGCTTTAACTTTCCAAAGCCTTTTTTCCTCCATTTTCATCTACGGTCCAGCCTCAAAAAACGTTGTTTTCTCCCGGGGGTATTTGCGTGGCTGGGGTTGTTGGGGCCAATGAGTGCTTGCTGTTGTTGTTGTCGGCTGGCTTCTTTTTGGCCGCTAGACGGGGGAGTGCAGGTGCACTTTTGGATGAAGAAATCGACTAGGGGCTGGCTATATAAGCAAGGATCTCTCACTTGGTCTCACTCCCATCATTTGGGCTCTGAATTTTTTAAACTATTGATTTTTACAAGGTTTTTAGAGTTTTCGGAAATGGTCTTTAGATCGAAGAAAAACCTAGCTTTTTGCTTTACTTTCTGGCTTTAGTCTCAATTCGCAGCGCATGAAAGTGCGGGAATTTGGTTATTAAATGTTCCTTTCGTAATTGTAAAGATTTTGCACCTGATTCTGGGCATTATTCATCAAGATTTTTCTATTTTTCAATTTCCCATTTCAAAATCAAAAGTTATAATAATTTTCACTAAGATTTTCGGCCGTAATCCAAAGCACTAGCGAGCCGACTTTAGAATCTTGATTTGCTAAATTTCTTCGTTTATATTGATTGATATTCACCTCAAATTATTATTGCTTTTCAGAAAACTACCAAAACTGCAAAATGAGCGACGACAGACCGACCCTCAGCGGCATCGCCCACGTTGTAAGTCATTTTTGCGCCAATTTCTTTACGCAGTAAAACCATCCGAAGCGCAAAATTTCTTTTTTCAACCACAAAGTTATAGGCTAGAATAATTAGCCTAAATTTTCAGGTTTCCGACAAGCTCCACGAATGGACGGGCACCACCCACGAGGATCGGGCCCGGAATGAGGCCGGCCAGGCCTGGGAGCACGCCAAGGAGAGTGCACGGGAAATGGTGGGTGTTTTCAAATATTTTATCGTTTCTACTGAAGTAAACTAATTGGCAAGCTAAAATTAATTTTCTAAAAATTAAGAAAATTTGTTATCCACTTAATTACCTCTGGAACCTTGGAAAAAAATATTTTTTTCAGTTCAAAATTCAAAACCTTCGGGCCAAAGAGTCCGCTAAAAAAGGTCGACGAGTACGTAAATAATAAATCTAATCAAAATTATATTTAAACTGTCTTTCAGAGCGAAAGCATGAAGCACACGGCCGGGCATAAGCTGTATGAGGCGGGCAACGCCTTGAAGCCGCACCGCCCCCCGGTCCGCCAGGATGATACCCTCGACAAGCTGAGGGACCAGAACGTTCCGATTGATGATTTCTAAATGAGCTTCCATTAATTCACCCATGACATTAACGCTGTACATAAGATGCATAATAAACTTTGATTGCTCGAAACTCTACAAGGTGATGGTAAACAGCGAAGTGACGGCACGAATAAGAAGGACAGAGTGAGAGAGAATGAGAGAAAGAGAGAGGGAGAGAGAGGGAGAGAGAGAGAGAGAGAGAGAGAGAGAGAGAGAGAGAAAGAGAGGAGCGAGTGAGAGGGTGAGAGAGAGGGACAGGTAGAAAGACAAAGTGCGTGGGGGGACTCAGCACGAGCGAGAGATCGCGCGGGAGAGAGACATCGAGACCAAATGAGCGAGAAAAAGAGAGAGAAGGAAAGAGCGAGAGAGAGAGCGAGGGAGAGAGCGAGGGAGAGAGAGATTCGTCCAGCCGCAGGTTTCAGTGAGATGATGTCTTAAAATTAGCATTTTTTGATTTGCATACCGGAATTATGGAAGGTAGTCTCAGACAAAAATTATTCGTCCTGGTCTCTGTCCTCAAGGTTGGTTACCCAAATCCTTCTTCGTATTTCCACCGCGTGCAAATGTTTCTTATGCTAATTAAGGGCATTTGTTTAGATTCACTCAGGTTCTGGCCCATGCCTTCTCTCGTCCATCTGCTCGGGCTGCTCATCTTCGGCGTGTTCCGCGCCGACAGCGAAGAGGTCCATTGCTGGGAGAGATTCGCCTCTTGCCTCGGGAAAGGCAACAAGACCTTCTGCGTCAATCCAGAATCCCTTGCTGACTACTCGTACCAGAAGTGCGCCTTCAAAGGTATTGTGTATCTCTCTTTCTCTCTCTCTCTCGCTCTCTCTCTCTTTCTCAATCTCAATCTCACTCTCTACCCCCCTTTTGCCAGCAGTAGTCCAGTATCAATTTCCTCTAGATTGCCAAGACGACACCGCGCCAATCATGATCCACGAGAAGACGACCTGCATCCCCATGGAACGGCTGGATCAAGGCGGGATGCTCCCGGGAGACTGGAAATTTACTGGTGAGACCAACTTCCGGCGGCTGCAATTTTTTTCCTAACAAAGCGCGTTCTAGGGTTCCTACTAAAAAAAATCGGGTATTTTAGACTGCGGAAGCCGGGGGTACTTGGACTGCGGGATCCATACGTCGATATGTATCCACGCAGCTAACCTCGAGGACTACAACAGCACCACACGGCTTTGCACTACGAAAGGTAAAATTGTGCCAAGAGTACAGCGCCCTACTTTCAGGCTGCGAGGAGCAACCCTCCACCACGCCATGCAGAGGCAAAGATGACATCTACCGCTGCACCTATTTCTCTTTCGTCAAAGCCATCAAGGGTGATGGGAGCTGTGAATTGACGCCGCTGGCTACCGGTATGGGTGGTGATGCAGTTTCGTTCCGTTTTATGATTAACGTAAATTTAATAAATTGATTAAAGAACGCGAAAAATGTTGATTTTTCGGACAAAATAGACCGATTTTTGACCAAACTCTGAATTTTAAGCACTGCTTAAAGTTTCTATATAATTTTACTAGTTTAAATATCGTCCAGCTTTGCCAAAACGCTCTTGAAATACTTTCGATTGCCATACCAAAAAAATTTTACCCCCTCCCCGATAATGAAAAAAGCCCCTCTTAACGATACCGATTCCAGTATGCCCCAAAGGCCATATGAACTGCGGCGTACACGAGCCGATCTGCGTCGAGGCGTTCAGCCCACTCTCGCGCACCGCCCCGCTCCACACCTACAATGATCGGACCGAAGAGTGCACCGTCGAAGGTAAGAACAATTCATTTGCACTCGCTTGCTCATCTTTAGGCTGCCCTCCTGGTCACCATCCCTGCAAACATGCCGCCAAGGGCCTGAAGCAGATTTGCATCCCGTATTGGCACATACAGTCCGTTGGCGAGGACAATCAATGCCGCCTGGTCGATCCGAACAAGATTCCACGTAAGGAAATATTTCATTTTTCTCTCTCGCTCTCTCTCTCTCCCTCGCTCTTTCTCTCTCGCTTTACCCTCCACCCTCCAACCTCCATTTTAGACCTGAAACCGACCGAAGACTGCGCGGGCCGAAAGGATACAGTAGCCTGCTGGGCCGGCGATGACTACGCGTGCCTCCCCTTCGAACGCTTGGCTTCGATCAGCCTCGACAACGACAACAAAACCATCTGCCAATTTGCACGTAAGGCGTCACTATCAGCGTGTATGGTCTGAAATTCAGAATGCCCGAACGATGGTGAGATTCCATGTGCCGCCGAGTGCCACAAGATTGAAGACGTCCAGGGGGTGAAGTCGGATGGGGAGTGTGAATGTGGGTGATTTGAGAGAGAGCGAGTGAGAGGGGGAGAGACCGACAGAGAGAGAGAGAGAGAGAGAGAGAGAGAAAGACAAAGAGAATTTTTCAGACCGCTCCATGCGCCGCGGTACCATCATCATGATCGTCTCCTGCTCGATTATCGGAACCATCACGGTGATCGGTTTGGTGGCCCTCAGTGGGTATTTGGATGAAGCTTTCGCAATCTAACAGAGATCATTGGGGAATCCACAGCTTCCTAATCCCTTTAGTCGTCCGCGCCTACCTGACCCGAAACCAGAAGACGAAGACAGCCGACAAAACTGGCTCCATCGCTTCGGCCAAGCTCGAGCCAGGTGAATTTTGCGCTTGTTTCGCGTCAAAATCTGAATTCATTTTCCAGGAGCCGAAGATGAGAAGCAGCCCTTCATGCCCTCCAAGAACGAGAAGGCCAACAACATCAAGCCCCAAGTCTAGATGCTCGACCACCGTATCCGCGCAATTTCCACAATCCATCCATCAAAATTAGGTTTCTACACTAAATACGATGCTGAGTGGTAGAAATTTGCAACTGTACTTGTGATATGATTGCGATGTGGGGTGGAATAAAGTGTTGAGCGGAATTTGGTGCATGCCGGAAGCAGAAGTGCAGTGTTTTTCGCAGCCCTTGCCGACTGCGGTCAGCTTCATCAATTCAGCACTGATGTTCTTAGAACAGAGCCGGCGAAAATATTTTTGTATCGACGCTCAGATCTCCGATCCATCGTTGTTGATCCGGCGAAGTGTTTTTGGGGATTCAACATTTCTTCAAGGTATCGGTGGGGTGGAATACATTAAGGAGGGGCGAGAGGAGGACTGTTGACAGGAATCTAGCGTACTGACGACCTTACGAAGGAGATAAACACCAAAACAAGCTCTTTATATAAGAAACCGGATGGGGAGGGAGGACCCAGGTAGTTTGGCTTCATAGCTTTATAGCTTCTGAGTTTCTTAGTTTTCTTACCCCAGGACTTGTTCAGCGTCCAGATGGTCATGCTCCAATTTTAGCCCTTTCTGTTTGACGAGTATTTTTTTGAATTCTAGCACGCCAAACGCCTTTTTTCAGAAAGCAAAAACTTACTAACGCATAAAAAATGCCTGGAATCATCGAAAAGACCAAGGACGCTGTGAGCAATGCTGCCGAGGCGGTAGGTCATTTTTGCTGTAAATTTTTGGCTACCGCATGCTTAAAAATTCACTGACTTTCAATTCACACACCAACGACACCTGGGAGGGCACCAAGTCTCGCATGGCTGATACGGTAGGTGCCGAGAGAGGAAGCAGGAGAGAGACAAAGAGAAAGAGAGAGATAGTGAGAGAGAGAGAGAGAGACAGAGAGAGAGGGAACGGGAGTGAATGAGAGAGAGGGAGAGCGAGAGAAAGAGAGAGAGGGAGAGACAGAGAGAGAGGGGGGAAGAAAGAGAGCGTGAGAGTGAGAGAGCGAGAGAGAGGAGTGAGTGGGAGAGAATGAGTGAGTGAGAGAGCGAAACAGAGGGAGAGAAAAATAAATAGCTAAAAAATCTCTGTTTTTAGAAAGAAAGCATGAAAGAATGGGCCCAGGACAAGACTCGCGACGCTGACCGCAATATGGACCGCTACTAAATTCCACGCATGTACAAATGACGTCAAAATCCACAAGACAACTCTTTATTTTCATGGCAATAAACCTTTTTAAGCTGCGATTATCTCGTATCTTTTGTAATGCACATTTATTCAGCACCCGAGCACTCGTATTGTACGGTACAAGTAAAACGAAATAGAACGAAAGAAAAACAATTCGGAAAAAATTGTAAAACCCAAAGTAATAAAGCAGAAGATTTTTTGAAATTCAGGTTTAGGGTCTTTTGAAGAGCAAAACTCAGTGGCGGTGATGGTTGTGACGATGGGTTGTCTGGTGATGATGGGAGACTCGGTGACGATGAGTCGCCCGATGACGTTGCGTCGTGCGTTCGCGTTGCGTCTCGCGGTGACGCTGCGTAGTGTGATGATGACGTCGCGTCTCCCAATGTCTTGCTGTCGTATGGCGACTACGACTCGTCGTGTGCCTTGGCGTGGTGTTCCGGAAACGGGGGGTAGTATGGTGTAGACTGGATGGTATCCGGGGGACAGTAGGTTGGGTAACCTTCACAGGATAATTACGGAAAGTTGGTGGCGTTATATGGGGTACAGTATTCAGACGCAAGGCTACGGTAGGTGGAGTGGGTTTTGAAAAAGAGAGCCAAGAACGGGTTGCATGATAGGGATTTTGAGCATGGCTTGGTACAGTAGGTTGAGATCGAGGTACGGTGGCCTGGGTGCCTTTCCAGAAAGAGAACCAGGACCGGGTGGGCGGGGGTACGGTAACTGGGGATCGAGTTACGGTATTGGAATGTAATTTCCAATCATGAGCCTCTTTTCGAGGATGATAATTATTATGAGAATTATAATGATTAATAGGTACGGTATTTCGACCAAAATATACGGTAGCTTGGGTGGCTTTTGGATAAGGGTAATGAGGGTAGGTCGGGTATGGCAAGCCAGGTGGCGTATTCGGATAAACATTGTGCGGAACCATAACCGGAGCACCGGATACGATAGGAATACGGTGACCCGGTAGCATTGTGGGCTGCTTTGTAGCACGGAACTTATCTAAAAATAACGAAATTTGGAGATGCAGGCGTTTTTCTTACCTTTAAGATACTTCCCGGCCACTTTCAGCTTCTCTTTAAGTTTCCGCTTCTCCTCGGGGCTCAAGCTCTTGTACCAAACCTTGCCGCGTTTCATCTAAATTTATACGAATTAGAAAGTATCAATAATTGGATTTTCTTATAATTCAATTAAAATCAAATGTTTATATAGTAAAATTCTAAGGGATGACGCCCGGTTTTTCAGTACCGTCAATTATACAGGCGTACTCACCAGGTCCTTGGCCCACTGAAAACTCGATTCTTTCGACTCGGCCGAGCCTTGCTGGTAACGCTGAAAAACGGATTTCTAAATCCTCAAAAGTTTTAAATTACCAATTCATTGAACTGTTGCATATAAGTGTTAGGTGAGTCGAGAAAAGTCTCCACTGGATCCTGAAATTCAGTAAAAATGAATTAAAACTAAACTGATAATTAAATGCAATGATTTAAAATTTTAAACCTTTTAAATTCCAAATATTGATTGATTCATTTTATAGACCTTGTCATTACCCGAAAAAAGCTTACTTAAATAAATTTGTTAAGAACAAAGAGCCAAGAAGATAGTACCCCTATTAGATTTTGAAAAGTCAAGAAACGGAAGCGTTTTTTGTGGACGCCTGCACTATAAAAACTCTTCTCTACTAATAACCACTACAATAAACATTAAAAAAATGCATACCGCCGGCTCGATATAGATCTCTTCTCCTTCATTGGAAGTCGTTAGGTTCAGGCGCAGCTCCTCCATGACGAAGGTTATCGAATCGGCGACTTGCCGTGACAAGTTTGCGATTATTTCTGTTCTTCGCGCATGAATAGAACTGTTTAAAGCCAAGAACAAGCTTCGTGTCGCATTGCCCAATTTCAGGTCGTAGGGACGAGCATGGATCGTGATGATAACGAACGCAACTAGGAATAGGAAGCAGCAGGGTGCTCTCATTTCTGCTCTGCAGTGATGAGTCAAGCAATCTCTTGTCTTTTTAACAGCCCAAGTGACGCGTAAACACACCGACGAACTTTTCTAAACAATGGAGACGTAACGCAAACGTGTCAGAGTTTTTTAGGGCCAAATTTTGCCAGTTTATATGATGTACCCGGAAGCTCAATCGGTTTTTAGGTCGCTGAGAGTTCATTAATTACCGGACTTTTTGGCTTCCGGAAAAAGAGACAACGTTTTATCTGGTACGCATTCCCTCGAGGCAGCGTCAATCGAAACAACGCTCTCTCTCTCTCACTCCCTCTCTCCCTCTCTCTCTCTCTCTCTCTCTCTCTCTCGCTCTTTCTTTCTCTCGTGTAGATCTCGACAGCTACCGGTAGAAAACGCGTACCACCCCTTTTTGAGGACTTCTCTATTTTTGCGTAGCGATGTCAAAAAAGGCTTCCTGAACTCACACTTTAATTTTTAAAAGAACAAGAAAATGTTTTCCGTCTCCGGTTCCGGCTCCTTCATCAATTCAGCACCGATGTTTTAATGGCGCCATCGAACAAAATATTTTGTTTGGAAAGCGATGACTCTGGGACATTGTTGTTGATCCAAAGTGTTTTTGAGTATTCAACATGTTTCTTCGAGGCATGTGTGGGGTGGAATACATTTAGGAGAGACGAAAGGTGGACTGTTGATAGGAATATCGCGTACTGACGGCCTTCTAGAGGAGAAAACATCAAAACAAGGTGCCTATAAAAGAAGGTGGATGTCGAAGGAAGTCAGCCAGCTTTTGGGCTTCTATCATCTCAGCTTCTCGAGTAAGCTAGGTCGTAAGCTTCGGTACCATCGGAATTTTAAAGCATCTTAATTTCTGACTTTGAAGGTTTTTAAAGCCGCAAACCCGTGACACTCTCGCCATCTCAACGTTTCACTGTTGTGTAGAATTTAGGCTTTCGTACCACTAATAAGTATTTTTCTAGCTACAACAAAAAAACGCAATCAAAATGCCCGGAATCATCGAGAAGACAAAGGACGCCGTCAGCAACGCTGCTGAGGCGGTGGGTGTTTACAAAATCGTCTAGGCTGATATAGAGTTTCTAGTTCATCTAGCTCACCTATTAATGCGCAAACCAAGCTCCCATTTCCAGGTGAAGGACAAAATGGCCGACCTGACCGGAATGTCGCACGAGGATCGGGCCAAGGATTCGGCCCGCAGTGCCTGGGAGGAGACAAAGGATAAGGCCTACGACAAGGTATGAAGAGAGAGAGAGAGAGAGAGAGAGAGAGAGAGAGAGGGACAGAGAGATATAGAGAGAGGGCTCGCTTAATGCCTTTAATTTATCCTATTTTACAGAAGGAGGACCTGAAAGACTGGGCGCACGACAAGGCCCGCGAGGCTGACCGCAAAATGGACCGCTACTAGATGCTCCGGAATGTACAACGGACAACAACTTACCATTAATAACGCACTTCTTCTTCATACTGCAATAAAATTCATACCCAAAAGAACCCAATACCTCCAATTTTGTAATGCTACTTTATTCATTGCCCTCAACACACGTATTGTACAGATATGGCAAGAATAAGCTGAATTAAGGATTCAGAATTAAGAAGAGAAGGGTAGTCAGCTGAAGAATTAGACACGAACCGTCGGGCGCGTAATAGGGACACGAGGGGTCGTCACTTTCGGGCGGGTAACATGGGGCACGGTTACGGTAGGGCGGATGTGTTTTGGGGTAGAGACACGAGGACGGGTCACTCCACCAACATGCGGCTTTGTCACCTTCGGACGAGTGACCTGGGGTACGGTAGGGCGGGTGATATGTTTGACAGTAGGGCGGGTGATATGTTTGACGGTAGGGCGAGTGATATGGGGTACGGTAGGGCGAGTGATTTTGGTGACTGGACGGATGGAGGGGCGGGTAACGTGGGGGACAGTGACCGAGGGACGGGTTACGGTAGGACGGGTGACTTTTGGGGTGGAGATTGAGGGCATGGTGACCGAAGGACGGGTCATGTTGCCGGGTACGGTAACGCGAGGAGTGGTGATGCGGACCGTTGGGCGGGTGATGCGCGTGGGCACCGCTGAAAACGTATATCTATAATTCGTTAGCGAGAGATAGAGAGAGATAGAGAGAGAGAGAGAGAGAGAGAGAGAGAGAAACAGAGGGAGAGAGAGAGAGAGAGAGAGAGAGAGGTGAAGATATATGAAAGATACTTACTAGCATAAGCCGCAGCCAGCAGCACCGACGAGACGAGAAGGAATTTCTAAAGAAAGCTGAAATTGAAGCCAAAATATCCCTTACCATTTTTTGGGTTTTTTTTAGAAGATGCCTATGAAGCGAAGCCGAATAAGCGAAGCCGGATGAGCTGGATACTTTTCGGACTGGACCCCTCTGCTTTTATAGCCAACGAACGCCCATTTTGTTGTCATTACCGCCCAATATTTGCCCAAGTTCGGCGCCCAATTTCGCTTTTTCCGGTCTGAACCCGCCGGGTTGGGCCATTGTCGTCACCCGTCGTCCATATTATTTATGCACTCTTCCCGGTCAAATCATAATAAAAATAGCGGTTTTGGGCGCCCGCTGAAAATACCGGCTAGGCAAAATAAAGTTGAGTGGAAGCAACAAAACAGCTAGAGATTTAGGTGCCGTAAGACCTATGTTACCCTGGCTCCGATTGGGAAAATTGATGTTTGAAAGCGGACCACCGGAGCTGGTTGAAACGGCTCAACCATGGAGAGTTTGAAAAAAAGTTCGAGGCAGGAAGAAGTCAACTAGGATATGCAGATATCATTTCTTAGGTATCGGAAATTACTTGATATGCCAGCAAAAACTTCGATCCATTCTCTTCGGTGTCGCGGAGTAGATCAAGAATAACGTCGCGAGATTCACGAGGGTTGACAATATCCCAGTAGCCTCCATGATGCGCATGTAAAGGACAGGCCCTTCGTAGACCAGCATTTAAGGATTTGGCTTTCGAGGATCTTGTCTAACATTGATAGAAGAAACGTCACTGCTGGTTCAGGGCCGCGCCGAGGTTCCGGCAGGTCCGGCAGGTGAAAATTGAACAGTAGTAGACCAGGATGTGGTGTCTTGTGAGAATTATGTCAATTTTTAGACTACGCCTACACTGTAAGGTATGTTTCAGCGGTGCCACAAATGCCATTAAAATTTATTCGCCAAATTAATGGAGAGCCGATTGCCGACACGCCGAATGTATACAACCTTGTTTAACGAAAGAGAAGCTTTTTCGACAACGACGCCGATAACAACGCTGAAAAATTATGGAAATTTCGCATACCTAACCAACCTCGACTTCCTGCCTCCAAAAATCCCCGTTAAGCACTGGCGATACGAGTCCGTTAATAGGACGATCGAGAAACTCGATACCATCCCGTGGCTGCCAACTGCGAATATGAATAGATGATTGGATACTGAAAGCTCATGAGGTTAACAAAAGAGTACTGATGCTATCAGGACGAGTTTAGAAGGTTTTAAACACTTCCGTAAAGACGGAAGGTGCCGGAAACAGGACGGGAAACCGGAAAACCAACGTTGCGAAATTTGCACTTTTGAACCTAGGGCGACGGCAATCGCAACGAAAGGGCCAACAATCGTCAGCATTGGGACGCCCATCTGAAGTTTTGGCCGTTAAATAGCAAGCTTTGGACAAGCACCTGAACGCCTAGCAATATCAAAAGTCGGCGATGTAGCTGACGAGTTTTCTCGCTCATCGTGCCCGCTGTCCGGCGCAACATGAAAAATGCGTGCGAGTAGAGGAAGGAGCACTGAAAGGAGGTGAAACTTAGATATTTGCGAGGCCTTAAAGGGGCTCTGAAATCTGGTCCATGCCCTCAGCGTTGATTTCTGGCGAATATTCACATGGGGACCGCAACGCAACCGCGCCGCGGGATCTTTCGCCCCCTGTTCTACGTAAAATCGAGTGGATGTTAAAAATCATAAAGCTATTCTGGAATCCGAATTTTGATTTTTTTGGGCGTTTTAATTATGAAAATTGACCAAAGAATTACCGAGATCGGGAGATTGGGTGCCTTACAAGGCATCCCGACATGTAACCACCGCGCACTCAAAAAGGCTTTTCGCGAACATTTCGCTTTTACTTTTTTTCGTAGCGAAATCAAGTTTCTGGTGCTTGACGGCAAAAACCACCTGCATTTCCATCACCAAATGCGCCAATTTTTGACTTCCGAGCCCCTTTGAAGAAATTGCAGTTTTCCAAAATCGCACAACGACATAGCACCTCACGGTTTCAAGATGGGCGGCGGGCGATTGGGTCTAAGCAACACTTACCACGACGATCGACTCAAGGAGCAGCATCAGAACCAACACCCCAAATAACTCTCCGATGAACAAGCCGAAAAACGGGACGACTACTTCAAAATCAGCGATCCAAACATCAGGTATGATCCATAGTCTGGCATGCTCTGGGTGCGCCTGAAATCTTGCAGAAAACGCTCCTTGAAACTTGTGTGCTGTACTTACTCGTTGCTAACCTGTGATAATTTGCTTATTTTCTGTACTCACCGTAATCCAGTTAAGCAGAAGGGTGCTTTGGCCCTTCTCCATTAATGCAAAGCTGAGTGAATAGGCGAATAAACCGGTGTAAAACACATAGTTTGCCACAAAGAATATGACTAGATGGCTGGGCTTCCACCTGAATTTAAAGCACGAATTTTTCAAGCACCGAATTTGAAAACGCCGAACCAGAACATTGAATTCCATAACGCCGAATTCTGTTTATGGATGCCAACATGCAAGTCTTCGCCAAGAAATTTTTTTCTGGCAAAGGGATTTTTATAAAAAATAAAAATTGATTTTTCTAGGCTTTTAACTGCCTTATTATCCCATACTACGTGAACTTTAAATAAAGTCGATTCCCTAAGTTGACACTCGAGTTTCGTTAGCATTTAGCATTTACCACTAGCATTTACAACCCGAATTCGGGATTACAAAACTTCGCGTCTCAAAAATTCGGTGTTATAAACGTCCGGCATTATGAAAATTCGGCGTCATAAAATTCGCTCTTAGCAAGTTCGCTATTATAAAAATTCGGCACCATGGTGGTGAATCACGGCCATCATACCTCGCCCAATGTCCCAGCGGCAGCACCTGTCGATGTCTATAGAAAAGGCAAAACGCGGTAGTTGTTGACAGCGAGGTCGTAAAAAAGGCAGCCGTTACCTAAAGGCAAAAACGCGATTTTCACCAGCTATAACGAATTTCATGACAACATAGAAAGCGCTTCTAAAAACAAACACCTCTCAAAAATTTTCATGTACCTACATCCCAAAATTTGGCATCGATTAGGATAGCTGTAAAATGAAATCGCGCCGCCGGAGCGGGTTGGAATATTTCGATCATGCTGATTTTGAGCAAGAGCTCACCAACCGAGGTAACGACCTAGACGTGGGATTTGTGTATCAAAAACAATTCCATCTACCTGATAGGCCAGCAAAAAGTACCGGTACTCCCCCATTTTCTTCGGTGACGCAAAATAGATCAACAATAGGGCCACGACGTTGATCATGGTCGAGATGATCCCGGTGGCTTCTGTGACCTTGAGGTAGAGCACCGGTTCCTCATATACGAGCGGTTCCATGGTCAAATAAGTTTATTTGTGCGGCATCGTCGTTTGGTGAAATCAGCGCCAACCCGCGCCAGACATCAACTGAAAAAGCACCGGGCGACCCACAACTAGCACGCCGGCTTTTTGGTAGTTTTCCACAGGTGAAATTTGACATGTAGTGCGTCCAGGCCCTGTTTTTGATACTTTCTGCCTGATTAACCAGATGCTGGAGGAAGCCACTTGTAGTAGTGCCAGGATCAAAAACCAGATACCACGCGTTCTGGTATCAGCTTTTATTCGCAAGAGTTATGGCTTCTCGGAGAGTCGTGAATTATCAATTGGAGCGGGGGGAGAGTTTAATGTCGTAGATTTTTCAATATTTCATTATTCTCTGGGGGCTACATTAATCGCGGCCGGGTAGAGCATCAAAAAAATATATTAAGAATTTTAATTCTAGATAAAACACAATAATTTAAAAGATACCAGAATTGAAAAGCCGCTTCGCGACTTTTCAACCCTGGTCCCGTCCCAAAACCATGAAATTCTGCGCTTTGCATAATTCGCCCGAATCGCGATCAGATGAAATGAAAATGAAAGAGCTGATATGGGTGATATAGGCTTGCCCCTTCCGGCGCATGCTAATCGTTTCCTTAACAAAGAGGGTGACCAATTTTTCATGAAAACTAATTTTAATGTCAAAAGCAGTTCATTTGCAAAAATCTGATATGTGTGCAGTCATCCCTAGACCATGACGCAGCTATCAAACATACCTTTAACCGCTGAAGGATCTGGATCTCATTTCGCGCTCGTCCAATGAGCCCAACTACCGTCAACCTCGATTCGAAAAGTTTA